AATAAATAAATAAAAGATTGTCCTCTAATTCAAATATTTTTTCATTAGTAGATCAATATTTTTTCATTAATAGTTTTTTCTCGTAAATACCTTTTTCACTATTGATTTTTTTTTTATACAACTTAGAATGTTTTTAAACAAACAATGTTACGGCCCACCTGATGGAAAGTGGATCAATTGATCGCCTATAGACAGATGAGCAGTACCGTGGACACAAGTAAATATTTATTTTTATTCTATTTATTCATTAGTACAAATATGTGTACATGGCGGACTTAATGCTGTCATTCCTCTCTGTCGACCATAGGGAAGTGTCAGAATACTCGAATGCGAAAATATTCGGGTACAAACCCTGTGTGACCTTATGATTTTGTTTAAATACAGCCATGCAAACAGTTGAAACAACTGCTTACATACGAGGGTAGAAACACAAAAAGGACAAAATTTTATTTTACAATTAATCGACTTTTGTACAAAGTCTCCCTTCTGGTGGTTTTAAGTTAAGTAAAAAATGCGCTTGAAAGTTGTTTAAAATAAATAAATAAAATTTTTAGAACACTGTTCCCAATTCAAATATTTTTTTTATTAATAGAATTTTTTTTTCATTAATAGTTTTTTCTCGAAAGTACCTTTTTCACAGTAGGTGATTTTTTTTTTTTTACAAAAGTAATTAATGTTTTTATAAAAAAACAATGTTATCCTAACAATAAAGAAAATTGGTAGATCAATTGATTAGAGCGCTTGCCCCGGTGTGCAGATGCGCAGGTGTGGAACAAGTAAATATTTATTTTTATTTTATTTATTCATTAGTACAAATATGTGTACATGGCGGACTTAATGCTAAAATCATTCTCTCCCAGTCAACCATAGGCAAGAGTCAGAATACTCGAATGCGAAAATATGTCCGGGTACAATTCCTGTGTGACCTTATGATTTTGTTTAAATATTTGTTACTCAATCTTGCTTAAACAGTTGAAAAAATTGCAATAAGATTTGGTACATAGATAGACTATTAAAGACTATTTATGTAAATTAATTAAATTAGCAGCGAGCTTTAAAAAAAGGCGAGCACAAAAGATCATAGAAAGGTAGTACGTAGTGTTACAGCTTTTCCTGCCTAAAAAAAAGTTCGTTTTTCAATTATAATAATAATAATACATAGTATAAAACAAAGTCACTCCGCTGTGGGGTTTTTTTTTATTGGATGATAATGGAATGGTAACCCCGCCCGCGCTATCGGTATACATCGGCAGGGCACCAGTGAAGGATGATAGGTGAGGATAAGGTAGGTCAGTTAGCCCATCGTGACGAATTCAACAAGAATTGTTCACGATGGTTTCCAGGGGGAGCCACGTGGAGGTCGACCTAATAGGGCATAGATAGATAGATAGATAGATAGATAGATAGATAGATAGATACTCTTTATTGTTTCCTCCAAAAGATTACAATAGTAAACTTATTATAAATATAAACAATTACAAGAAATAATCACAATGAGAAAACAATGGGCGACCTTATCGCTAAGAGCGATCTCTTCCAGGCAACCTTTGGATGGCATATTGCTAGTAATGGGGCTGTCAAACTCCATTGCTAACAATCCCTTTCCCTCCTTCCGCTGCGGGTTATCACCGTTGTGCTTAAATTTATATAATCAATATTTTTTTTATATACATGTTATGACAAAAATATGGACGTTAGATGTGATAAACAAGTGACGGCCCACCTGATAGAAAGTTCTAATGTCGCCTACAGACAGTAAACAACTTAGATATTGAGCAATGTATTTATTATGTTTTAGTTTGGAGGTAAAGTGATAAACAAGTTTGGTTTACTTTGTTTTTTTTATATTAATTAAAATTATTCATTATAGATGACGTATGATGGACTCTTGCCGCTCTATCTATCTATCCATTTAAGAGCTGCGCTCTTGTCGGTGGAGCTCTTGCCACTCACTACGATTTTCAGCGAGTCTCTTCACCTCTTGATACGACACGACACCAACTCCTTCCTTGATCTGCCTGATGTAACTATGTCTCGGTCTCCCTCTCCCCCTCCTTCCTTCTATCTTACCTTCTATTATAATGTTCATAAGTTCGTCGTGTCGTATCAAGTGTCCTAACATTTTTCCTCTTCTGTCCTCTTGCCGCTCTATGTAATACAAAATTTTTGTCGCCACTTTTTAACGATCAGCCGCCCTATTTTTGGAATCTAATATTTAAAATATATATTATAATATATATAAGAATAATATATACATAAATAATAATAATCATCATCATTTTATACCACTGTGGTGGCAAGCAAGCATACGGCCCACCTGATAGTAAGCGGTTACCGTAGCCTAACGCGCGTTGCCGACCCTGAAGAAATCTCTTTAGCCCCTTTTGAAGAACCCCATGCTGTAGTCTCTTGGGAAAACCTCGGCAGGGATATATATTATGTTATCATATTATGTTATTTATGTATATATTATTTTTTATATAGGTATACATTATTAGTTGTTATTTTCTTTACCTATTTCAATAATGAAGTATCGCATTCGTGATTCACTGTTCATACCAAAGGTTGGCTGGTAGAGAATGCTACTAGCATTGGACCGCCTTTTGTACTATTTTTTTGTCAATAAAGGTTTTTAAATAAATTATAAATATAATATATATATATATATATATATATATATATATATATATATATATATATATATATATATATATATATATATATATCATTACGTAGTTAATATTGTAATATTTGTTACAAGTATGCAAACACATCTTGGCATCTGATAAATTTTCTATTCCATGTTTATGACTCACGGAGGGCGGAAGGTCATTTATTTATTTATTTATAAATTACTCACGTCATTTTTTTAAATGAAAGATAATGGTATGGTAACCCCGCCTGCGCTATCAGTATACGCTGGCGGAGTACCAGTGAGGGATGATAGGTGAGGATGAGAAGGCAGGTCAGTTAACCCATCGTGATGAATACAATATAGTAAGAGTTAATATACTTTTTAGTTAATTTAGTTTAAAACTTAACCGTGTTCCATATTTCATTCAAATTTGTGTAAGTATGATTAAGTGATAAACTTTTTTTTTATACAACTTAGAATGGCAAACAAGCTGATAGCCCACCTGATGGAAAGTGGTAGCCGTCGCCTATAGACATGAGCAGTACCATGGACATAACAGAGTATACTGTTTCGTCGATGATACCCCTCATGCGTTGCCATTCCTGAGGACTCAGGTGTTATTCCTCTGTACCCAGTAAATTCGCGCCATATCCCACCCTTCAAACCGAAACACAGCCACGCAAACACAGCTGCTTCACGGTTGAGACACGAATGGGACAGAGGTACCCAAGCAATTGACTTTTGTACAAAGTTTCCCTCTGGTATACTAATCATCAACATCATATCATCCTTTAACTATCCACTGCTGAACATTGGCCTCCCCTTGGGTATTGCCAGAAGTTGCCACGCTTGGCAAACGGATTGGCAACCGTAGTTAGGCTATGGAGATGTTTTAAAAGGGACGCTGCTGGTCATCCCTCGCCCTCTCTTAATTGATTCTTACGACACCCACGCGAAAGGAATGGGTGGCCCATTCTATGCCGGGACCACATGGATTTCGATCATTCTTGTTACAATAGATAGAGTTGACTCCCATATTATTTAATTTTGTGACTGGAAATAAATTAATTTTAATAGACTTTTTTCATCATAAATTCTCATATGACTCGCTTCTTTATAAAGACACAAGTTTGTTTCTCACAAATAGTACAAGGAAAATGGAAGTTTAAATAAATGGACGATGTAGCAGTGATAGCCCACATACGGAACCAAAACAGTAAATCCATTAGTCGTCGGAAAACGCCATGTGTTATGTTACCAAATAGGAATAACATGGGATTGGAGCGTTCTATTATTGCGCTTATAGCGTTCTATTATTTTATTAGGAGCCGTATTTTTTTTATACCACTGAGGTGGCGAACAAGCATACGGCCCACCTGATGGTAAGCGGTTACCGTAGCCTATGAACGCCTGCAATATCAGGGAGATTACAGCGAAGCAGTTGTGTTGTGACGGTGAATTTACAGGGTACAAAGGAATAACACTTGAGTCCTCAGGAATGGCAACGCATGGGCGAAACAGTATACTCTGTTATGTTCATGGTACTGCTCATGTCTATAGGCGACGGTTACCACTTTCGATCAGGTGGGCCGTCAGCTTGTTTGCCATTCTAAGTTGTATAAAAAAAATTGTACATGAAAGTACATACACACACTGAGGAAACAATGGGTGTCCTTATCGGTAAAAGCGATCTTTTCCAGGCCCCTTTTTTTAATGGAGAGAAGTAATTATGAACAGTTTGATCGGAGGCACGATGAAATTTGAAAATTTTGTTATTTTAATTACATATAGAGATGAAATATATGCAGTAATATAAATGTATATATATATATATATATATATATAGAATATAATAAATATAGAATAGAAGTGAACGGCGTGTTCTGGCAGCCCGCACAGTTTTTTTGGCGGATTGGCAAACGCAGTTAGGCTTTAACATTGTCCGCATAGCTGGGATATATTCATTGATCTGGGTGTATAGTTGTCGATGCCCTGCCCCATCTCAAATGTTTCGTGTATACCATATTTCATGACGTTCTGCTAAGCCATCAAGATGTAACAAACAAACACTTTCACATTTACAATATTAGTAAGGATTTACATGTAATAATAAACTCTTTATTATAATAGTACCGCCAACGGCGCCAAAAGAGATTAAGACAAGCAGTATTTATACAGAATGTGCATATACAAAAGGCTGCCTTATCGCTAGAAGTAATCTCTTACAGGCAACCTGGCGTAAATAGTAGATAAGTACAGAGAGAAAGGTAGATGGCGCTAGTGAGACACAGTAAATAGAAAAAGTAATCAAATAAAATGTAAATTATTCTGTAATATATTCTTAATTATTATACGTATATTTCAGGTCTGGCAGCCGCCGACAAGGATGAGCTGATGCCGCCCGAGGCTGCCAAGCGGCACACCATGCCGCCGCAGCCGGCGCCGCGACCCGCTGGTATCAAAGACAAGGTAACCCATCCCATACTGTAGGCAAGCGATATTTACCGATATTATTAATGTATCGATGCCAAAACCCATACGATGCTATGAGTGAGCGATATTTACCGATATTATCGTAGTATCGATGTCAATAAATATAATATCGATACTGTCGATATCTTAGGACAAGCAACGATATTCCAGATCAGAGATATAGTTGTGTTGAATGATTGGTGAGGTGGTACCCATACAGGTGTGGTTAGAACGTGGGTTTTCTTGGCACCAAATATCTTAGTGTTTAAGTGATATCGATATTATTGTTACGGTAATATTGGAATATCGATGTTAAGCTATCGGTATAAATATCGATATTGCTCATTCCTAAACAATATAATCTTATAATACTTAGTGTACACAGATATTGCATACAATAGCCAGCATGACTAGTTCATAATGTTTCAACTCTGTCATGTAAATTTATATGTAAAGCAGCGGTAATTTTTACGTATCATTTAACCTCCTGCGGCCCGGTTTCAAAGTGGGTACATCCAAGGAAGACCCAGTGTCCTAATATTAGAACAAATTAATTAAGTCCTAAACGCCCAGACCAAAAATTGTTCATATCTTGGTAACCACAACAGATAAAGGTGTAATATTTTAGGGATACTTTAATATTGATTTAGGCTTGCCCGACAGAAAAAAAAGATTCCAAAATATTTTGTTCTATATTTATCACATTGGGATGCTACATATAACCTGAAGTCCCATAGAAAATGGAAATTTAAACACCTGATAGAACAAATAATTAAATTCCCAATAAGTACATCCTTATTACTGGTTATTCAATACATGCCATAATCAAGAACAAGCTTATGAAAACTTTTAACTCGCCATTTGTTATTAACAGACTCTTTCCTGTTTTATAAACGGCTGTTTGATTCGTTTTATCTACGATCATATCTATTAGCTCATCATCAAAGTATTGAGTAAAATAGTCTAATTTTGAAAAATTTGTTCTGTCTTGTATCGAGTACGATGGCTCAGAAAGCATAGGAAGGTTTTTTGTGAAATTCTTTACAGCCCATGTAAACTGATTATCTGAACTGCTGCTACCGCGAGCACTAGTAAATTGCGGAGTGCGCTCACATCTTCTGCTGTAATGTGCATGACTACGGGCTCGCATGCGCGATCGATCTCGTCCTCGACTACTTTTCAGAATTGGTGGTGGACTCTTAGACTCTGATTCTGAGCTAGTACTGGTTTCACTTGCATCATTCCTATCTGGAACGAACTCATTGCCAGTATCCTCTCCTGTAAAAGGATCTCCCTCGTCGTCTTCGAAATCTAATTGATGTAGTATCTCTAATATTTGACTATCTGTGAAAGGGAAAACTGTCAGCACAATGGCGTAGACTAACTAGAAGGAAAATAATTAAAGGTATAAATGCCCGCCGTACTAGTATTAACATGAAATAAAATCACTAAAAAACCATATAAACGCTTATAGTGCTAGTATTAGTACAAAAAAATAATCACTAAAAAAGCATATTGATATTGACAAAATTACGATAAAATAATAGTGTTTATATAAACTGCATCCCTTTGTCCAGATAAAAAAACAAAATGTCGTAAATATAACACAAAGATTTAAAAGATATAAATTAATTAAACAAACCTTTTATCGTTGTACTTGCCATCGCTTCGACTTAGAATGACAGAAGAACGAAAAAAAAATTCCCTGTCCATTGAAAGCAGTGCACTGCCACAATACCAAATATATTTACAAACTAAACGACATTGAATACACAACGTGGCACGTAATTCAAACGCGGCAGATGACGGAAAATATTTTGTTCTAGTATTAGTACAGAGGGTGTTGACTCCAAATTGCTATTTTAAAAATTGGGCGTTTACAACAATGTGATTTTGTTCTAGTATTAGGACTTCAGACCTCAGGAGGTTAAATGCTCCCTTAGACAAGTGGCAAACGGATCTATCGATAGAATCGTATCAGTTAGCGCTCGCATTAAAACAAGACGCTATCTAACTGCAGGACTGGCTAGTGATAACAATTCTATCGAGATATTAGTTTGCTACTTGTCCAATAGGACTGGTCGTTTATGTAGTAGTCTGCCAAAGATGTTAGAAGCGGCTCAGAAATATCTGAAGTCGGATTTAATACCCTTAATATAATTTTGTATGTAAATACTTGGGTTTTAACAGTCATAATAATTATTTTAATGAATAAATAAATGAATGAAAATGTGTATAGGCCAACTGACAAGTGAATAGATAAAATATAAATAGACATGTCGATGGTCGCAAATAGACGAATGTAGATAAGACTTGTTGCTGACCGCAGTTAGGGTTTTATAGAGTTAATAAGGCCATAGAACGCTCTGTGTTATTTTATTTTTTTATAGTGAGGTATAACTGGCGATTTTTGGATTCTACTAATTACTAATAGTGGGAATATCCAGCAAAGTATCTCTCTGGTAAACAGAGGTCTGTTTACCAGAGAGATACTTTGCACAAAAGTCATTTGATTAGGCACCTCTGTCCCATGCAAGTTTCTACCGTGAAGCAGTTGTGTTTATATGGCTGTGTTTCGGTTTGAAGGGTGGGATATGGTAGTGAATTTACAGTGTACAGAGGAATAACACCTAAGTCCTCAGGAATGGCAATGCATGGGGGGTATCATGGGCGAAACGGTATACTCTATTATGTCCATATACTGCTCATGTCTATAGGCGACGGTTACCACTTTCCATCAGGTGGGCCGTCAGCTTGTTTGCACTTCTATATTGTATAAAAAAAATACTATCATGGATTTCTTATTATTGATTTTATATAATGTATTCATACATCCCATGTTTTAATGTATTGTAGCCAATCATTTTCATTTGCATGAGTTTATTTCGTTTCTTAGTTGAATAACAATGACAATGAGTGAATGAACTTTATATCGATGATATAAGGTTTAATTTGGACAAACATTTCCCTATAGTAAAAGTAAAGGTGTATATTGGAGCTGATAGTAAATCTAGCTGTGTCACCTGCGTATGCTTCTAAAAATGAGGACTCGGCCATAATTGAAGTGCATGATATATCAATCTTTTTATACTTCATTTAATTAAAACGTAAAGTCTAGAGCAATAAAACAATCTCGTATAGTTTTAACATAATTGTCACTTTTAGAATTTTAGACATTTTAGATCATATATTAATATTATGGTCTCCGTAGATGATCAAGTGGTTTGAGTCAAACATGTGCGCTTGTATAACAAATACGTGTAACTTCGACGTTTGTCGTATAAGCAGTAATAGATAAATGCTCGAGTCAAACTGCTTGATCATTTACGTAGCCTCTCTAGATGATTGGTGTTGTATTGTGTACTACTCACATGTACTCACATGCATGTGTATTGTATTGGCTTACTTCATTTTAATTTACTGAGCCTTCGGAGAAACAGTGAACTTGTGACGGCAGTTTGCATAGGGGCTTATTACATGTCAAATATATAAAATTATATCTTGTTATAATAAAATGGCTGATTTTTAATACCCAATGAATTACTATTGAGAGTTAACTTTCGTAGTATTTTTATAAGCCACTACATATCTTCCCGTTCTATAATCCAACTGGTAATCCAATGGTGAGCGATTAAACAAGCTTGAGCATCTTCAAAATTTATGTATGGTCTTAACAAATATGATCACATTTCTCAATTTCATATTCAAGTGATTTCCCTATCTATTTTTGTCGTCATTCATGTCAAATATCTATATGTCGAGTCAATATTATTATTTTTATTTAAGCATATGTATAAAGTATATTTCTTTTATATAATATGATATAATTAATGAATAATTGTTATGAAACTGTAATAAGCCCCAAGAAAATCTGTAACGATAATTATACATTCGTCTGAGCAGTACATACATGTTTTGCTCAGATATTGTTGTGTTCTCTGATCGCTCCAATTAACATTGCGTTCCTCGCACGCTGCTCGGAAGCTGCGACGTCGCTCCGGCGGCACCGTGAGCGCGTCGTCCGCTAGCTCGCTCGAGGGGGAGTACCTCGCCGGCGACAAGGTGCTCGAGCTCAATGTTGAGCTTAACGTGCGGCTCAGGCCTGAGGATTGAGTGCTAACTTGAACGGTGTCAAATTAACATTGAATTTTCTATCTAAATATAGATTTATTTTTGATATTTTGCACTCAATCCCACAAGATTCGCATGGTTATTTAAATCTAATAATTTTAGTCAGTCAGGGTTTAGCTTCTTATTCTAATAATGATAACTAAGATTTTAGTTGTATTGTATGAATTTGAAATATAACTGGCTAAATCCTTTGAATATTTCTTTTTGTTTTTATAAAGGTAATATTGTAGTAAATTTGTTGTACAAATTAACCACTAAGGCATAATTTTTTTTATTATATTAATATTGTGGTTTAATATATAATATTTTAAAGTATAATGTACGTACGAGAAATGCACTGTTTCATAGTAGTTCACTACTTCATTAGTATTAGTTTTATTTTATATAAATAGTTTTATTAAATCTAATAAACATTTTCAAATTAATCTATCATACATTAATTTATAAATAATATTTTTCAAGTATTTTTTTTTATTTATCTTACAATAGAAAATATACACATGTTATGCTCAACTTTAAATTTATACACCGTCAATTATTTTCCATTGGGAGGAATTATTTTTTCCAAAGACAAATGTGATTATATTACAATTATAAAATTATCTATTTGATTTTGTATCCACAGAAACCTCCACCCGGCGCTGTGAAAGTGATGCCTACAGGTCCCCTGGACAAGAAGGAAGATAAGAAACTCGCCGAACAGAGAAAGCCTGCAGAAAATGGTAAGAATAAACTGAAAAAGAATATATGGAACATAAAACATACTAGATGGAGTGATGACCTGAAATGTATTGCAGAGACTCAGTGGATGTGGGTAGCTCAGGACTGTACTTTATGGCAGTCTATGGGGAAGGCTTATGTCCAGCAGTGGACGGATAATGGCTGAAATGATGATGGAAACATACTAGAACGTATAACAGGCGAAAGACTTCGTATAAAAAGGAATAAAAAGACGTAACATTTAAATTATATAAGTGATGAAAAATTTCTTTATTATACATTATTTCGTTAATTTCTTTAAACTTGAACATGAGTACAAAACTATGACTAATATATGCGATGCTATAATTTCAGGAACTGATACATCGAGCGATCCAGGCATCACAAATAACGTTGAAACCACACCCAAGAAGGGCAAGGTAAGTGCATTTCCCTTTACAATTTGTTTATTCAATTTGTCCATATATGCAAGAATGGTAGAAACAACCTGGCATTTTTCTGATAAAATAATAATTGAACGCAATACTGTGATGTTTAAAGGAAGTAGACATTAGTGTATTATACATTTTTTGTAAATATAAATGTTAGAATATGCAACTAGAGCAAGGCATGCATATGCATTATGCATTTTCATATTAATTTTGCACCGTTTATTGTTGTATGAGTTTCAATGTTCATTATATTTTGAATAAATGAACATTAAACTTGTACTACGCGTTGACGTCTTTTAATTATTTTATTTGTAATTATTTTTTATTTTTGTTTTCCCTTCTATCCTAATCCCACCCAACAGGGAGGTTTTGGACTATTCGGTGGTAAAAAAGAAAAATCTCCTAAAGAAGAGAAGTCCCCGAAGATTAAAACAAAATCACCCAAAGATAAAGATAAGAAAATTAAAGATCCGAAAGCAAAGGCTGTGCTCGACTCATCCGCAAACAGCTCTAATCTGGATACATCACCTGATACAAGTCCCGTTAAATCTGAACAAGAAAAACCAGGTTTTACTAAGCCTTACGAATATACAGATACAGAAAAGAGTCCAACACGTACTAAACCATTTATCCAAGGTGCGTTTAGTTACGAAAAGGAACCCATTACAGAAGAGAAACAAAGAGAACTTGATGCTCAAAGTCCTACCACAAGGAAAGCTGGTCTTGCTTTTAATTACGCGCCGGGTGAAGAAAAGAAGGTAGCAGAAAGCGCCGAGAAACGAAAAACGCCTGATGATCTAAGTGCATTGAAAACCCCTGGCATTGACTATGTACAATCTGCAGCTTTGAAAGAACAAGCCAAAGCTCCTAAGAATCTTATAGACCCAACTCTTGCATTATTGGATTCTGAAAGGGCTCATCATGAGGCTCCATTGGCTGCTGTAGTCGCTGTGCCTATTGCTGCTAAACCTGAAAACGAAGTGCAAGTCGTTATAATAACTGGTAGATACAACCCTAAGACCAAAAAGTTAGATGATGCTAATGGTACTGTCCTTGTTACAAAAGGAACTTTAAATAAATCTAATGGCAAGATTCAGACAGAAAAAGAATTAATAAATACTAAATCGGGACAGGTTAGCTATACTGACCCTGTAACAGGAAAACAGGAGATTAAAAATGGTCACGTAGATTCTAAATCAGGTCATATACTTTTTACTTCTGGAGTAATAGATCCCAAAACTGGAAAATTAGATCCAACACTGGCACAACAATATTGTTTCGTCGAGAAAGCTACCGATAAAGTGGGAGCGAAGCCGGGTAGGGAGGTGGATTTGGTAGTTATTACTGGAAAATATGATGGCAAGCACAAGAAATTAGACGCGTCCCATGGTCATGTTGATGTATCAAGGGCGGTTGTTGGGTCTGATGGTGTAGTCAGTTCCAATTACGGCACCATTAATCCTAAAACTGGAAAGATTGACTACATTGATCCAAAGACTGGAAAACAAGATCCTAAGCAAGCTTATGTTGACAATAAAACTGGGAATCTTCTTGTTACTACTGGCGTTCTCGATCCTAAGTCTGGTAAAGTAGATTCGTCATTAGGCCAACAGTTCAGCATAATTGAGAAAGATGCTACTAAAGCAAACAGAGAAGTTCGCCTTGTTGTTGTTACAAGCAAGTATGATTTAAAGAACAAGAAACTGGATCCGTCATTTGCTCATGTAGATTCAGTTAAAGGAGTACTAAGTGGGTCTGATGGTAAAATTTACACAGAATATGGTATCATTGACCCTAGAACTGGCGAAATACAGGTCACTGATCCTAAGACTGGAAAACAGGAAATTAAACAAGCTCAAGTAGATCCTAAAACTGGAAATATTTTACTCCTATCTGGTGTTATTGATCCAAGAACAGACCAGTTGGATACGTCTATGGGTCAACAGTACAGTATTGTAGATAAGCCTGTCGATACATTCGCTTCACTGCCAGGAAAAGAAGTTCAATTGGTGGCTATTACAGCTAAATATGATTCAAAGAACAAAAAACTAGAAAATACTAATGGATTCGTTGAGACTTCGCGTGCTATAATCAGTGACAAAGATGGTACAGTACACACGAATTTTGGAGTTTTGGATCCTAATTCTGGTAAAGTTTACTTTACTGATCCTAAATCCGGTAAACGAGATTCAAAACAAGCTACAATAGATGCAAAGACAGGAAGCTTTTTACTTACATCTGGTGTTATTGACCCTAAGTCTGGCAAGACCGATTCTTCTCTTGCTCAACAGTTGACTGTAGTCGATAAAGATGCTCCAAAAGGCATTCCGGAAAGATACGTTAATCTAGTTATAGTTACATCCAAATATGATCCTAAGAATAAGAAATTGGATCTTTCGAACGCCGTTGTCGATTCTATTCCTGGAAAAATTGATGCTGATGATAAAGTTCACTCAGATTTCGGTGTAATCGATCCTAGCACTGGTGAAATAATTGTCACAGATCCCTTGACTGGTAAACAAGATGTAAAGAAAGCTTCTGTGGACCCGAAGACTGGTAACTTATTGTTAACGTCTGGCGTAGTTGACCCGCATACAGGACAAGTGGATTCAAGCTTTGGCCAACAAATAACAGTTGTAAACAAACCAAAAGACAAATTTGCCTCTGTCCCAGGAAAAGAAGTACAGCTCGTTGTAATAACAGGTAAATATGATTCTAAAAATAGAAGGTTAGACAATCCAAATGGCCATGTAGAAACATCGCGTGGTATCATTGCTGTTGATGGCAAAGTCCACACTAACTTTGGAGTTATTGATCCAAAAACTGGAAAGATTGAACATGTGGATCCGAAATCAGGAAAGCAGGAAATCAAACAAGCGATAGCTGATCCCAAAACTGGATGCTTGTTACTTGCCACAGGCGTAGTAGATCCGAAAACAGGAAAAACAGATTCTTCTCTTGCTCAACAATACGCAATAGTAGACAAGGATGCCCGAAGAAGCATTCCAGAAAAATCTGTGAATTTAGTTATTATTACATCTAAATATGATCCTAAGCATAAGAAATTAGATCCGTCTAACGTACACGTGGACACATTACCTGGTAAAATTGAAAACGATAGTAAGATACATACAGAGTTTGGCGTTGTAGATCCACGCACTGGTGATATAATTGTGACAGATTCTGCTACTGGTAGACAAGAAGTTAAGAAAGCTGTAGTAGATCCTAAAACTGGTAATTTACTACTTACATCTGGCGTTATGGATCCTGCTACGCGGCAAATCGATCCCTCTCTTGGTCAACAGATAAGTGTAGTACAAGAGCCTAAAGAAAAATTCGCAACAGTACAAGGGAAACCGGTACAATTGGTAATAATTACAAGTAAATATGATCCTAAAACTAAGAAATTGGATAATCCTAATGGCCATATTGAGACGTCTCGGGGAATCATTGCTGCCGATGGTAAAATTCATACAAACATCGGTGTTATTGATCCAAAGACAGGAAAAATTGAGCAAGTTGATCCTAAAACAGGTAAAACTGAGATCAAACAAGCTATTACGGATCCCAAAACTGGATCTTTGTATGTAACAACGGGTGTTATTGACCCGAAAACTGGTAAGCCTGATTCATCTTTAGCTCAGCAATTAAATGTTGTAGATAAAACTTCTCGGCCGGGTATTCCTGAACGTCACGTAAATTTAGTCATTGTAACATACAAATACGATCCAAAAACCAAAAAAATGGATCTGTCTAATGCTCATGTTGATTCGATTCCGGCTAGAATTGGAAATGATGAGAAAGTGTATACTGAATTCGGTGTTGTGGATCCATACACAGGAGACATCGTCATCACAGATTCAGTTACTGGGAAACAAGAAATTAAGAAATCTACAGTTGATCCCAAAACTGGGAACCTATTCCTTACGTCAGGAGTCGTTGATCCACAAACTGGACAAGTTGATCCTACATTAGCACAACAAATAAGTGTTGTAGAGAATCCGTTAGATACATTTACTTCCGTACCAGGGAAAGAAGTACAATTGGTTGTAATCACAAGTAAATATGATTCTAAAAATAAGAGATTGGATAATCCTAATGGACGTGTAGAAACATCAAGAGGTATTGTTGCATCGGATGGTCGAGTTTATACTAACTTTGGAATTATTGATCCGAAAACCGGTAGAATTGAGCAGATTGATCCCAAGACTGCTAAACCAGAGATAAAACAAGCCATCACAGACCCTAAGACAGGTCATTTGATTCTAAGTGGTGTATACGATTCAAAGACTGGAAAACCTGATTCATCACTCGCCCAACAATTTAGTATTATTGAAAGGGATACTAAACCAGTACAAAGGGAGATTCATCTTGTTATTATAACTACTAAATACGACCCAAGGACGAAGAAACTCGATCTGACTCAAGGACATGTAGATACCGTTACTGGTACTCTTGGTCCAGATGGTAAAATCCGTACTGCAGTTGGCATTGTTGATCCTGCCTCTGGCGAGATTGTTGTTACAGATCCAAAGACTGGAAGACAAGAGGTTAAGAAAGCTCAGCTCGATCCTTCTACGGGCCATATGATTGTTAGTCATCAAGTGGTCGATCCTAAGACTGGAAAAGTAGATCCTACTTTAGTACAGCAATACAATATCGTAAATAAGCCCGTCGTACCGCATACCAAACCAATTTCAAAGGGCGAAGTGCGTTTAGTAATTGTCACAAGCAGATATGATCCATACACAAAGACAGTAGATGCTGCATCTGGAACAATAGACGCGTCCAAAGGTTATGTTAGCGCTGAAGATGGCAAAATACATACAGATTTCGGTATAATTGATCCGAGATCTGGTCAAATTTTGTATAGGGACCCTGTAACCGGAAAGCAAGAATTGAAACAAGCAGAAATCGATCCAAAAACTGGTAATTTGATTGTGACTTCTGCAATAGTTGATCCCAAGACAGGCAAGGTCGATCCTACATATGCTCAACAGTTGATAATAGTTGATAAACAAAATGTGTTATCAAGCGTTGCACCAGTAGGGCAGAGAGTCAGTATCTCACCTGTAAGACAAATTCCATCGCCTGTAAAGACTCCCACCCACACACCCGTTCAGACACCACTGCAATCACCAGTGCGGACATCTTCGCCTATTATCTCAAGTCTCGGTCAAAAAGCTTCACCTATTACTACAGTCCAACGAGCAAGTCCTGTTAAGCCAACATCAGCGCCTCCTGAACCTCCTAAGAGAAAGATCGTCAAAATCATGGTCATCTTTACTAAAGTCGATCCAAAAACTAAGAAACCAGATCTGAATACAGCTGAAGTAGAACATTTAACCGGAATCTTAGATCCGAACGGTCTCATTGAAACTAAGTACGGTGTTATAGATTCAAATAAAGGACACATCGTAATAACTGACACTGCAGGACAAAAAGTAACTAAAGATGGAACTGTTTTGCCTGAAACTGGACAAATATTCATTCCATCTGGTGCTGTTGACCCGAAAACAGGAAAAGTCGACTCTAATTTAGGTATGATCTTGAGTGTTGCTAAACAAGATGATCCAGTTGTTGAGATTACAACAATAACAGGACCCATTGATCCGAGAACAGGCAAAGTTGACATTGAAGTAGGTACAGTTGAACATACAAAAGGCAAGGTGGATGCTGAAACAGGACATATTTCTACAAAATATGGTGTTATTGATCCATCAAATGGAGTTATATTTGTGACTGATACATCAGGAGCCCAAGACACAAAACCGGCTAACATTGATGAAAACAATGGACAAATTACAATTACTGGAGTGGTAGACCCCAAAACTGGCAGGTTGGATCCTAAACTTGGTCAAGTTATTATTGTCGGTACACATATTGATCCAGTAGTTGAAGTAACGACTTTCGTCGGTAAAGTCGATTCTAAGAAGGGTATTATTGAACCTAAACATTCTGTAATCGAAAGTTCTACTGGCCAATTTAATCCTGATAATAACAAAATTGATACTAAATATGGTCAAATTGATCTCGTCAAAGGCACTGTGACCTACAATGATCCTAAGACTGGTAAATTTGAAAGCAAAGAACTGAAAGTAGACCCTATTACTGGACAGTTCTTACTTCGAAGTGGACAAATTAATCCTAAATCCGGCAAACCAGATAAAGATGTTGGTAGACTTATTTGTTTAAGAATAATTCAGAATAAAGTTGATCCTGTCTCTGGAAAACAAATTGTTTCTAATGATCCTAAGAATGTTAAAGTCGATCCCAAGACTAACCAAATTTGGATCGCTGGTCCTAAAGACCCACACACTAACGAAGTTTTATATACAGCTGGTCAAGTTGATCCCATAACAGGCTACATTATCACAATCTATGGTCGTTTAGATCCTAAAACAGGCACCATTGTTAGAACTACAGATATCGACAAGTCTCTTATCAAAGTTGATCCAGTTAATGGACAAATTTACACTGCAACTGGCGAAGTTGATGAAAATAATCAGCCTCTATATTCTGCTTCACAAGTCGATCCTGGTACTGGAGAGATTTACACCAAAATTGGTAAAATCGATCCGAGAACCGGAAGGTTAGTTATTATTAAAATTTATGTGATCACTCAGAAGGACGATAAAGGACGCGTTAAAGAAGTAGATCCTAAAGAATGCACAATAGATGAAACAACAGGCAGAATAATTACTACAAAGACAGTATACTTGTATCAGATCGTTGATCCAATAACTGGGGAAACTATTGACGTGGATCCAGATGATCCAAGACTGAAAGGCGCCCGGACAACGGTTACTCAAACGATGACATTATCTGGCAAAATCGATCCGGTCACCGGCAGGATAAAAACAGAATACGGAGACATAGATCCGGATACAGGTGATATAGACCCGAGCACAGCCGTCAGGGATCCTGTCACGGGACAGTTAATATTACATTATTCACAAATCGATCCATCTCACTTCGAAGATAAGAGTGGGAACTACACAATCGAGAAAGAGACGCAAGATCTGCCTGCGAACATTGACATCCAGACAGTAAACACTCATAAGTTTTCGACGTTTGGAAAGGACGAGAGTCCCGCCCGCGGCGATGAGCCCAAGAGCTTCACCGAGTACACGACAAGCGAGCACATAAAACACCAGGGATACGTATCTTCCACTCCTCTGTCCTCAAAGATCCCGATTTCGCAGCGAAGCAAGAAAACACCCACACCCCCAGTGGTGGTGAAGACCACGACCAAGCAGCTGCTAACGAAGAACGACGAGGGTGTCACCCATAACGTTGAGCAGGAGGTCGAGAACCTCGGCACCGGGGAGGTGACGTTCTCCACTCACACGAATAAGGTTCGTTCCTGTACAGTTTTAATTAACAGGCAAACGAGACGCCACTTCAATTTAAATGTTGTTTTCCATTTTTTATTTTGTACAGTGTGTGGCCTATTTTTGATTTTATTTTACTTAATTATCAAAGCTTCCATGCTTTCGTAGTCAATGTTAGTTAGTTTTTTAGTTGTCACTTCTATGTGTATAGTAAGCATGCCAGTCTAACCTTACTGTAGGCGGAAAGCTTAGAGCCGATGGAAGGCAAGAGTCCGTACGTGACGGCCAGGGCTGTCACCACGCGGACGGCGACCACGCACCACGACCTCGACACCAAGGCGAAGACACAGCAAATGGAGGAGAAAACTGTGGCGCACACGCTAACGTCGTCCGCGACAAGGCAGGAGCAGCGGGTTCTGACTCAGCAAGTCAAAACTATGGTTACGACCGGCGATCAGGTAATAGCACTCTCCACATACATTCACAAACTCCATGATCATGTAGTAAGTGAGGCATCAAGTTTTTATTTTGGGTATCCCCGTTTTCTTTTTTGTTTGAACGACAGCTCTTTCTGCACGGCATAGGGCTGCTACACGAGCGTCTATTTGCATTCAATTCAATGCCATATGTTGCGAGTATCGAGCTTGCAATTTGAACTGCACTTTGAGCAATATTATGACGCATGCTATCGAATCTTGTCACAAATGCTTTTTTTTTTAAAATACAACTTACAATATGAAATGTTTGTCTTGACGTTTTATTCGCCTGTTTAAGGACATACCTATAATTAATCTATGTGCTAATTTCATTAAAGTCTGTACAAATATTTAAACATCGTATAACAAACAACTTTACAGACTTATATATTAATAAAGGTCGATTCCAATATGCACATTGAGATAATTCTTAGGATAAATTGCGTTTTACAAACTGCATGGCATGTAATTGATATATTACGTTGTTTATTTGATGGACTATATGCTGTTTGGGTCAAACGCAGGTTTCAGTTTTGATTACAAAGGGATTTCAATTGAAAAATATTTGACAATTTATAATGTATATTCAAACAGTAGTGTGAGGTACATATCTTATTTCTATTCCGATGAGTACTAAATTTAAGAAAGAAATTTTCAAATTGCCGGAAAGGGCTGTCAGTCGCATGTACGATTTGTTTTCTAATTTATTTCTTTTTTTTTTGTCCCCCCTCCTCCAATCACGAAATGGAAATATGGATGAACGCTGCTTGTAACGCTTCGGATACGGCATGAAACTAAACCGAAAACGGTCCATTATGGCGAAACCTTACCTTTTAATTTTCCTCATCATAAATTTACCTATTTCTCACTTAACCTCATCGTCCTTACATGTTAACGTTTGTGATAACTTACACTCAATGTGTTACTTACATCCCACCACTATGTGATAATCTCCCATCACCTCGTCATCCCATCGTCCATGTACCCCAATGGTGACCATATGGCATGCACCGGACCGCAGCGTACTAGACGCGGTTCAGAAAGCTCTCTGAGCAGCGGAGATTCTGGTACACCGATCGATTTCGAAGAGGGCGCTGGCGAAGGTCATTACTACCTCACTGTGAGTATACCACGTAGTTGTAAAACCTCTAAGGTTATTAAATAAATATTATATGAACACATAAATGTGGTAATATTATTAGAAGCCATTGTAGTGCTGTCTCTTTCTTTCTAGTTAAATTTTTAATATAATAACGTGACGAAACATACAGAATTGTTTGTATAAATTTATCTCAAAAAATGTGCTGTTCTTTTTCGATTTGAGATTATTTTAATTAGTTTTCTCAAATGCAAAAATACTACCAATTATTTAGAGGTTTCAAACTCTATATTCATGTAGGTATATTTCAAAATTATGTTTGTATCAGTAATTAAAACTTCATCGATCTCTGTCTACCCCGTAAGGGCTTGAAGCTAGTGTAAAATTATAGTATCCACTGTAGTGTAGTAACATAAACGCTATAAAGTAATAAAAGTGAAATTAAAAGTGAACAATCACAACTGTACCCTCTTTTATTTTACTTTTATTTATTATAATTAATAAGAACTAGAGGATTTTATATTTGGCATTATGGTGTTTAATAGTGGTGTAATTATGGTGTTTAAATATTTACTAAATAATTTAGGGTAAATGTTTACTAAGCGTTTCTTTCACTAAACCAGTATGAAATTTTTAAAAGTAAAATAAAAGAAGGGAAAAATAAAAGTAAGTACAAATAAATGCAAATAAGTATAGTTAAATGAAAAATTGTTATTTTTGTTTGGTTATTTTTTTTTTGTTATTTTTAAATATTAATATTGTTATGTGAGTGTAACATACTCGTATTTGCATATTATCGTTGCTGTATAAGTGGCATGTGCATACATAATGTTGCATCGTTGTGTTGCATGACTACGTGTATGCGAGAGAATGTATTGCATAATGTATTTACTTAAAACACAAAACATAATAAGTATTTTTATTTCAGTTGTATGCTAAAAGGTTTCATTTCACATATTTATTAAATATTTTTTAAAAATTATTTATAATAAATACATGGTTAATTTTTATCTTGTTATTTAAATTGCAATATTGGAATAATTCTTATATAAAAAAAAAATACTTTGTCATATATAATAACTTTAACGTTCCCCTACTTGTTACCCAAAGTACATATGGATCTATTCCAATAAAATACGTTATTAGCCAGCTGTTATTATATTTAAAGATTTGTCAAGTTCAGATCACGTGAATACAGATTTGTCTATGCTTTTATTCTGTAGAACTGTCGGTTTTTAAACTAAGAACAAGAATTACATAGAAGAAAAGGTAAAATAATAACTGTAAATCATACGGTTGTCTCCTTTCTTCTTATGCAAATATAATTTGTAAAAAGAGGACGAAAGATACACCATCAGTTGTTATTTTTCTCAATTCATAGCAGGCTAGTGTATAGAAAATGTTTGATCTGTCAGTTATTTGTCAATGACAAATTTTACATTACTATATTATATATTTGACACAGTTTATGTAGAAAGTATGCGAGCAGGTTGTATCTGAATTTGGTAGGGTTATACAGCCGTATAACATTTTCTATACACTAGTCTGATATGAATTAAGACAAATAGCAACTGATGGTGTATCTTCCGTCTTCTTTTTACTAATTATATTTGCATAAGAAGAAAGGAGGCAACCGTATGATTAACAGTTTTTATTTTATCATTCCTTCTATGTAATTCCTTGTTCTTAGGTTTGAAACGTCCGTAACACAAAGCCGTGAATTATATATATATATATATATATATATATATATATATAATACAGTTTCTATGTAAATGCTAATAATTGTGTCGATGGTGTAACCAGGAGCCGGGCACATATAGGACCACGACAACGTCGACGGTGATGGGCAACGCGCCGTTCGGCAGCATGGTGCACGGAGCCACCACCAGGGTGAGTGTGGTACATTCATTTCTATCGCTTTTTATACAAACATGCAATCTTAATAGTTAATTAATTATTACCATTAAATTGATTTATGATTCGAGTAATTTGTTATTATTTACCAGAGGGAGATTTTGTACAAAAGTCGTTTGCTTGGACACCTCTGTCCCATTCGTGTTTCTACCGTGAAGCAGTTATGTTTGCATAGCTGTGTTTCGGTTTGAAGGGTGGGATATGGCGTGAATTTACTGGGTACAGAGGAATAACACCTGAGTCCTCAGGAATGGAACGCATAGGGGGTATCATGGGCGAAACAGTACACTCTGTTATGTCCATGGTACTGCTCATGTCTATAGGCGACGGTTACCACTTTCCATCAAGTGGGCCGTCAATTTGTTTGCCATTTTAAGTTATACAAAAAAAATTCTTTAAATTAATTTATTTTTATTTATTTAATACGGGAGGACACGCGTCATGGGGAACTAGAAAATGAAAACAAGCTACAAAGTCTCCTTATTCTCTTTATTCCTGGAGAAGGATTCCTTTTTAAAATTTTTTATTAAATTGTTTAATTTCTGTTGCACGTATCTGTCATAGACAAGTACGGGCCCCCTGCCAACTGAAGAGACAGTGGAGACGACCAACGCTGAGGGCGAGGTGGTCTCCTCGCAGACCATCAGCTCTAAGACGCGCACGGTCGAGACCATCACCGTGAGTAGCTATTACGTACTTATCATACGGCGGGCCGTATGGTTATTGTAGTGTTAATGCTTGCCGTAGTATTGTTAGTTAGATGTAAAAAAAATTGCCAATGAGATCGATTCTCGCGATTTTAAGAGCATTAAGATTTCAATTTGATATTATAGCACAATTTTCATAAGAACTTATTTATTTATTTTATTTATTTGATACTTTATTGCACCAACATAACATGATTTGTTAAACAATTTTCAATAAGTATAGTGTAGTACGAAAGGCAAACTCTTCCAGCCAACCTTTGGAGGGAGAGGAGTAGTTATAAACAATTTGGTGGGAGACACGATGAAAAATTGTGTTAGTTCTAAATATGGGAGATGTGATACATATAATAATATAAATATTATCCCTACTCATTATATATATATACATACATGTATAATACGAAAAACACAAAGTTATAAAATTTCTAGATATCTGAAGAAATAAGTATGATAACCAGACAAAAAATAAATAAATTATTATATCTATTGTATTGTACGGTAACAGTACAAGACGGAGCGTAACGGCGTGGTGGAGACGCGCGTGGAACAGAAGATCACCATACAGTCGGACGGCGACCCCATCGACCACGACAGGGCGCTCGCGGAAGCTATACAGGTGCTTACATATGTATTTTGTTTATTATTTCAGCCGGTAACTGTCTACTGCTGGACATAAGCCTTCCCCATAAGAAGAGTTTTGCCAGTAGTTGCCACGCTTGGCAGGCAAGTTAGCAACCGCAGTTAGGCTTTAGAGATGTTTTAAGAGGGACGCTGCTGCCCATCCCTCGCCCTTCCTTAGTTGACTCTTACGACACTCACGGGAAAGGATGGGGTGGCCTATTCTATGCTGGGACCATATAGCGACATTACTCTTCACTGTTACTGCTCCAGGGATGGTAGCGCCCTCTACTGTTTCAAGGCTGCATTCATGAAAGCCTCTGGCGTGACGTGACATGACGAAGCGCGACTAAATATAAGATTAAATTTTGCGGTGTGGTCCCGGCATAGAATGGACCACTCCTTCCTTTCCCATAGGAGTAGGGCAGCAGCGACGTTACTAAAGTCCAACTACGGTTGCTAACCCGCCTGCTAAGTGTGGCAACTAGCAGTGGCTAATATGATGAAGATTATATTTAAATTATATATAAAGATATGTTTTCTGAATCGTGTCGAAGGTTTTTAATTTTTTTTTTTTCATTTATACAACTTAGAATGGCAAACAAGCTGACGGCCCACCCGATGGAAAGTGGTAACCGTCGCCTATAGACATGAGCAGTACCATGGACATAATAGAATATACTGTTTTGCACATGATACTCCTCATGCGTTGCCATTCTTAAGGACTCAGGTGTTATTCCTCTGTACCCAGTAAATTCACGCCATATCTCACCCTTCAAACCGAAACACAGCCATGCAAACATAACTGCTTCACGGTTGAAACACTAATGGGACAGGGGTACCCAAGCAATCGACTTTTGTACAAAGTCCCCTCTGATTGCATTTACTTTATTTCGTGAACGTGAGAAAAAGAAGGAATGACTTCTATTTCTTGATTAGTATTAATAGTCATTGCTTAATTAAATTTGCAGGAGGCCACAGCGATGAACCCCGATATGACAGTGGAGAAAATAGAAATCCAACAGCAGAGCACGCAACCGTAACGCGGCTCCGCCATCTTGAGACCGCGCCTCGACAAAATGGCGTCCACGGTAACACGGCATTCTGATATCTTGGTCTCTTTCACTCCACACCCGAGCGAAAGGGAGCCGAGGTAGTTTTATAAGCAACTTGTATGTATATGAGCTACATACACAAACTAGTTGTAAGCGAAACCACTGCGAATATTAATTAAGTTATTTAATTAAACATTTATTAATTGATAAATGAGGTTAATTACATTTGATGTTGTGACGTCGAAACGCACCTACGATTATTTTATGAAATGTTAAGTATTTTTTATGTAAAGAAAATATTATTAAGACGACATTAATAAAGCATTTGCAAATTTTTTAAATAAACCTAGACTTAAGCATATTTCCCATACACAATGGCTTTTAGCAAATAATGTTGCCATAGTTAAAAATGTTCGTGTAAAAGGTATAATGTTTCATTATAAACAATGTTTTGTCTATGGGATAGCTTTAAACTGTCACACGAGGTAGACCACCGTTTTAGATTAAAAAGAAAAAAAAAACAATTGTTTCCCCCTATTTATTATATTATTACAATCTGTAATCATTACAATGTAACACGGGACTAATGAAGAAAAGTTTATTGCTCGACGCTTACTTTGCATGCTTTGTGAAAAAAAAAACAAGTAGTATATTGTATTCTACAAATGCTAGCTGCATTTTGTTATTTATAAATTTTTAATAAAAAAAAATATAACCGTTCTATTTTTAAATTCTCAACTTTTTTACTTGCTAATTGGAAGCAAAGACAAAAGTAACGTCGGGCCGTGTTGAAACATCTATAAATACCTATATGATTTGTTGCTAAACTATATATTCACCATTTAGGTGCTACTTAGGGTATAGTTACGTGTATTAGTGCCGTTAATGTAACAAACGTGGCTTCAGCTAGTAGGTGAAACGGTCTCAATCATGTGTTTTTATTTTTTTAACTTTAACTTTAAATCTAAATCCCAGTTCGGTAGTATCTTTATTAAAATACTATTTATGTTATCGTAATAAAAATATTTATATTATGATTCTATTTTCCTGTGTGCCTTTTCGAATTATTGATAAAAATAATCATTGCATGTTATAAAAATTGGATTGTAATTGTAAAAAAAAAAATATATATTTGCTTAGTTATTGTATTCGGACACGAAAACGACAATATATGTACGAATGTATTGTGTGTACACAGTTTGTCGTTGGTTAAGAAGTGTCGTTTGATCGATGATCTGGGCCGTTTTCTACAGCTAAGCATCGCTTACTCGATCGATGTTAGCATAGAGTCATCCGCCACGCAACCACTGGCACTGCGACAACATGATCGACGTACGAATATAATCACTATATAGAAATAACAGTGCAACGCTCAAGTCCGCCATTTTGTAATCGTGATCCAACAAAATGGCGTTCTATATTTTGTTCAGTATCAGCGCCATCTAGCGTATAATAACGTAAAGGCAACGCTTTGGTCTCACCAATAGATGGCGTTAAATATGCGATGTGTACAGTACATTCGAGCGGTCAAGTGTTTTATTCGTACGTCGCGTGATCACACTGAATTTATTTAATGTAATCATTGCATCACCATTTTTTTTTTTATCTAAACAGGACATTCCAAATTGCTAGAGCGTTTCTAGTACTAAACCATGACACAAAGTGTTTAATTTTACGTTCAATGTTTAAGGTTTTACAGTTAATTTATAGTTTTTCTTTGCGGGCCTATAATGTGCCACTCAATACGGTAACATCTGATCGGTCCTCAACATCTGTTTATAATTCTCTAATAATCAGATTTATGCTCAAATTGACTGATCTATCACAAAAATCTTGCAATTGGGGTTCAGAATCACCTTTTTTTTCTATATGCCACGTTTCAAGGCGTCGAGATAGGCACTAGTCTTGAGTTATTTTTTACAATCCATCAGTCTTCCTCTGTTAGTATTATTTATTTTGTTTATTATGACAACAGTCTGTCGTGACGGTTTGACAGTAATATTCAAATTCAATCGTAATTGTTCTTTTGTTATTGAAAAAGTTTTAAAACGGACTTTTTTTTTTTTACAATTATATATTTCCATAACGATATAATAATTGGGATAACTGTACGAAGATGACGATGATGATGAAACATTTCTGAAATTAGTTTCAAATTTTGAAATATTTTCAAAAATTCTAAACGACCTTATTACAGGACTACTCTCTAAGTAAGAAAACTCTCCCAAAAGCATTTGAAAGAAAAAACATGACGAAAATAACACGTAATTTTTTTTGAAGGCGCTTTTGAACTATGTAGTAAACAGTACAGTCGTAAAGAAAAGTATTGTGTACGATAAAATTGTGTACCTTGGGTACCTCTGTCCCATTCGTGTTTCCACCGTGAAGCAGCTGTGTTTGCATGGCTGTGTTTCGGTTTGAAGGGTGGAATATGGCGTGAATTTACTGGTTACAGAGGAATAACACCCGAGTCCTCAGGAATTGCAACGCATGGGAGGTACGAATGACGAATGTATGGACACGCCATGTCCGCCGTATCTCCTAAATAAACAGCCATTATAGTCCGCAAAGAGAAATATTGTTTGCAGGTTAAATTGATACTGATATTGTACAATTATTATTAATATATTTCTTACACGCTAGCTGTAATTTTTTTTTTTTTATAAATAGATTATAAGTTTATATTTTGACGTTATTGACACTGATTTAAAATCAGATTTTATCTGTATGTTTGTATTTTTTTTTTTTATATAAATTTGACAATTTTATTGCGTGTAGCAAGTGTAGTTATTTGCAAATATGTCATAAACATGTTGGCACTATTGTCGAGACAGGAATATTAATTGGGAATGGATGTAACTAGTGTTGTATTGTATTATAATGTACCAGGATGGCATATTTGTGGATATTTAATTAGTTTGCGATGTACAGTCGGACGCAAAAATGTCTGTTGTATGCAGGGTGTTTTTTTTTTTTTTTCCAAACAGATGTTTTTTTCTGTTTCATCTATCTTTTAAGTGAATAGTTTATATTCACACATTCATATTTATTACACTTTTGTACTACATTTGAGTAGTGTTTTTTAATTACATATTAAAAACGAATACTGTAGCTTTTGTTTATGTTATTGTATAAATAATGAATCCTTTAGGTTAAAATAATATTATAAAATCAGAACAGTTTTCTGTCCGACTGTACGTCGCCCTTCTGCGTTGTTCCACGTCCCGTATTTATTGAAGATGTTTATTTTTCTAGACGTATGTACGTATGTCTCAATCTTTTCTATTTAACAAGAGTTATCTGGAGACTCCAATAAAATGCTTTGTTTCAAATATAATAGTTTTATTTTTAAATATTTACACTTATTGAGAAAACTGACGATCTATGGGGAAAAAGCCTCCTAAGTGGCGACTTAGTACAAACAAATGCAGTGTGCGAGGGGGAGAAGGGATTGTTAGTAATGGGGATTAGCAACCTCATTGCTAACAATAAACCCTATTAGGTCGACCTCCACGCGGTTCCCCCTGGTAACTATCATGATTGATTCGTTGTTGAATTTTTCAGGATCGGCTAACAGACCTGCTTCATTCTCACCTATCATCCCTCACTGGTGCCCCGTCGGTGTATACCGATAGCGCAGGCGGGGTTGCCATTCCATTATCATCCATTAAAAAAAAAATGCAGTGTGCGACGATCCTCCACTAGATGGAGTGACGACCTCAAATGCATAGCAGGAGGTCAGTGGATGCAGGTGGCTCAGAACAGTTTCAAAATTCAAAATCTACTAAACTTATTTTGAAAATACTTCCATCTTTTCACTAGTGTTTTATATTTGTTTTTTTTTTTGTGACTGGCAGTGGAATTCTAAATTCTCTTGCGCTATTTGTATGCACTGGTATGTTTATTATCGACGATAATGAAGTCGTGTCAGTTGGCGCATCTCGTGACGAATCCATCGGGATTTTTTTATACAACTTAGAATGGCAAACAAGCTGACGGTCCACCTGATGGAAAGTGGTAACTGTCGCCTATAGACATGAGCAGTACCATGTACATAACAGAGTATACTGTTTCGCCCATGATACCCCGCATGCGTTGCTAATCCTGAGGACTCGAGTGTTATTTCTCTGTTGAACTTTCTTTGAACTCTTTGTTACTTCAATTCATCTTTTATATTAACATTCCGTATTCTATCAGTCACTTTTAATAGTTCTCTTAGTGACATAAACTTTATTCGTTTATATATATATATATATATATATATATATATATATATATATATATATATATATATATATATATATATTTCTTATACAACTTAGAATGGCAAACAAGCTGACAGCCCACCTGATGTAAAGTGGTAACCGTCGCCTATAGACATATAAACCTATAGACAGTTGTATTAATAAATACTATTGTAATGGCTAATGTATATTTTTTTTATAGCACGTAGGTAGCAAACAAGTATGCAGCCCGTCTGATGGTAAACGGTCACTGTAGCCTATGGACGCCAGTAACACTACGGGTGTCACGTGCGCATTTTCGACACTGAAAAAATCTCAATATATCCTTTTTGAAGACCCCCCCCCTATATTATAGTTTCTTAAGGAACAATAGACTATAAAATTTTCCTCAAACCTTAGCTTTCCCGCCCATATTAGCGAAGATTAGCCAAGTAACCAAAAAAAGGAGAAAAAGTCACTTTTTTCCACTTTTTTCAATTCAATGTTAGAGGTGGAAAAAAATTTTTTCTTCGCAATTTGTCAGTAGTTCAAACCTTAGTTGAATTGCCCTGTTTAAGGGAAAACCTCGGCAGAGCTCATTCCACAGCCTGAGCGCTCGCAGGAGTTCCCTTAATTTTTGCGAGGAGTATATATATATATATATATATATATATATATATATATATATATATACCGCACTGTACCGTCGCCTATAGACATATAAACCTATAGACAGTTGTATTAATAAATACTATTGTAATGGCTAATGGGGGGGGGGGTAAACGGTCACTGTAGCCTATGGACGATTATCAGTATTGGCTTAATATACTAGCCCCCATGCTAACAATAGGTACGCCCTGTCAGGCCGACCTCGCGGTTCTCACTGGAAACCATCGTGTTTATTTCTAAGTGAATTCATCATGATGGGCCTGCGTTTTCAGGGGGGAAAGAGATTGTTGGCAATGCAGTTTGACAGCCCCATTGCTAGCAATATGCCCTATTAGGTCGACCTTCACGTGGTTCCCCCTGGAAACCATTGTAAACAATACTTGTTGAATACGTCACGATGGGCTAGTTGACCTACTTCATCCTCATCTACCATCCTTCACTGGTACCCCGCCGGTGTCCATTATCGCCCATTAAAAAAAAGACTTGCCTTTTTATCTTTATCTATCACCATTCACTGGTGCCTCGTCAGCGTCTACCATTAGCGCAGACGGGGTAACCATGCTATTGTCATCCATTACAAAAAAAACGCACTGTACGGGACCATTTTTTTTTTTTTTTTTTTTTTTTTTTTTTTTTTTTTTTTTTTTTTTTAACACAATTTTATTTTTTTTTCAAAACAGAAAAAACCATATTTTTTTTTTTTTTTTTTTTTTTTTATTTATTTATTTTTTTTTTCTTCTCCTTTATTAATATATATAATATGTAACATAATAATCCATTCAAATCTGAGGATGAGTTCCTACTATTCGGAGGGTGGTCTTTCAAAATTCAAGAAAAAAGGTCTTGGTCATGAAAGATAGCAGGTTGGTGCGGTGATAAAAGACATTCTGTTATTATTTTTTATCACATTTACATGCTGGAGAGTCGATTAAGTAATGTATGACCTATTTCCTCCAAAAAAGGTGACGGACCTATCAAACTTAGTTTTTTGCAGAATGACCATTTTGGTTCAAACGTGGGAGGATGTCGAAAGTGGTACCGTCGCCTATGACGGACCACCTGATGGAAAGTGGAACCGTCGCCTATAGTACCATGGACACAACAGAGTATACTGTTTCGCCCATGATACCCCCCATGCGTTGCCATTCCTGAGGACTCGGGTGTTATTCCTCTGTACTCAGTAAATTCACGCCATATCCCACTCTTCAAACCGTAACACAGCCATGTAAATACAACTGCTTCACGGTTGAAGGTAGGTGGTTTAAATAATAAAAGATTTCAAATAACCTTAATTGAATTGGTTAGTAACTAATGTGGACAGAATACCAAGGACTTTCTTTGAATCTATAGTAACAAATTACCTTTACTTAATAAATACAGCTGAAAAAACAATAGTACTAAATTCAATACAATCATGTTTCCATACATAACCCTACAAAGGTCGTAAGTATTTTTACAGATGCCATCTAATATGTCGATAATGTCGTATAAACAAATAATAATGATCAACATCATTTGATGGCATGACCATGGTACGGTATACAACGAGCCACCTGGGTAGTAACCACCTATAGACGAAAAAAAAAAAAAAAAAATATATATATATATATATATATATAGTATATAACGAAATACTACTTAATGACCGTGAAGGAATGAAAACAATCTAATGCGAGTATAATAAAAATGCCTTGTGGTCCCGGCATAGAATGGACCGCACCTTGCTTTCTCGTGGGTGTCATAAGTGGCGACTATAATGGTAGGGATAGAGGGATAGGCAGCAGCGTCCCTATGAAAACACCACCAAAAGCCTAACTTCGGTTGCTAATCCGCCTGGCAAGCGTGGCAACAACTGTCAAACCCCCTTATGGGGGGAGCCATGTTCAGCAATGGACAGTTAATGGCTGATACAATAACACACACGCACGCACGCACGCACGTGCGTCTGGACGACGAAAATTGGACGTCGCTAGATATCAACGTCAAATATTTTACAATTCAAGGAAAGTGATTTGAAAAATGAGGTCCAGAGGGAGACTTTGTACAAAAGTCGATTGCTTGGGTACCTCTGTCCCGTTCGTGTTTCAACCGTGAAGTAGTTGTGTTTGCATGGCTGTGTTTCGGTTTGAAGGGTGGGATATGACGTGAATTTACAGGGTACAGAGGAATAACACCTGAATCCTCAGGAATGGCAACGCATGGGGGGTATCATTGGCGAAACAGTATACTCTGTTATGTCCATGGTACTGCTCATGTCTATAGGCTACGGTTACCACTTTCCATCAGGTGGGCCGACAGCTTGTTTGCCATTCTAAGTTGTATAAAATAAAATCACTTCATCCAAACCGTCGTCTTGTTTGTTATATCTAATTTTATAAAGGATAGGTGTGGGTGCAAGGGATACGTAATAGAAGTACATTTTTTTAATTGGTTTTACCACAGTCAGGCTGTCGCTCGCGTCACTGCCGCCTTTGAATAAGGGTCACGAATCGATTCCGAAACTAGTCGAGCTTTTTCGTTCTAATTACACGTAGGTTAAACCGGCAGTTATTTCATTAAAATGTGCTTACAAAACTTTTAACAATAAAAATCCCATTAACCCGTATAAACCATTTTATTAACCGCTAAGTAAACTTTTAACAATTCCCCCCTCGTTTTCGTATTTCACCCCTTTCATGCCGAGACTGTAGGGCGACTCGCCCCGCGTCTGTAGGTAGAACAATCCTTTTGTACCAGGCTTGGAGGGGTATCCCATGTAACTGGAAAAAATAATTATTGTATTGAATTAAAAGCATTCATACCGACATACTTGGCCGACAGTCAATGTGGGTGATCATGGGTGGTGGTAATCATTTACCATCAGGTGAGCCGCATGCTTGTATGCCCCGTGTGTTATGAAAAAAATATAGGGGGGGGGGGGGATGAAGTGGATTATCTGTAAAGGGGTCTCATTATCAGCATTATACCCGGTCGACCTCAAGCAGGTTCGTCTGGAAACCATTGTGTTTAATTTTTGATGAATTCATCACGATTAGCCAACTGACCTGCTTCATCCTCACTTATTATCCCTCACTGGTGCCCCGCCAGTGTATACCTCGCGGTTCCCCCTGGAAACTATCATAGTTGATTCCTGATGCATTCATCATGATGGGCTAACTGGCCTGTTTTCATTCTCATCTATCCCCCTTCACTGGTGCTCCGCCAGCGTATCCCGTTAACGCAGGCGGGGTTACCATACCATTTTTACTCTAAAAAAATATATACTCGTATATATTAGTGCTGCTCTAACTCTGACGTCCGTTAGAAATCTATGTTTGTATTCTCCGTTTATTCAGGTGTCTAAGCAAGCAAGCAATATATACAAAACACACATCATGTTTATAATAATTTATACGTAATGACTTATGTTGGCAGGAATGTTAAAAGACCAAGTTCAATATGAAGTGATAGATTTGAGTCGAGCGTTAGAGGCACGGTAACCGCTACAAAGAAAAATGCTCAGCTGCTATTCCCGTGAATTTGATTGTTTCTTGGGGTATTAATGGTTCAACCATAGAATAAATACGTACTTAACGGGTTGAGGGTTTGTTGTTGAAGGTTGAAAATTTGTCACACACATAGTATTTGGCATGAAAATGGATTTGGGTTAAAACAACCAACTTGCTGGAGTTTCGTCGAGTGACCACAGAGTATTTGTGTTCAGACGTTTTTTGTTTTAGTTAAATCATTTTATATTATTTTTGTTATTTGTATGTAATATTCCTTTTTATATGTTATTGTACTCATGCTTTCCTGGGTGAGCGTATTGGAAGACTGTAAGGCTCACCCAGTGGATGTAATAAATAAGTAAATAAATACCAAACCAGGATTAGAACTGGCGACCTTTGCGGTCATTAAGTCGGAACAGTATAACTCTGGACTGCAACATTCTCTTATGAAACTTAATTAACTAGATTTATATTAATTCAGATCTCTTTTTATTAGGTATATACTTAATCAGATGAAGTTTCACCTATAAGTCATAATACACATAATGCTATAAAGATGATCTATTTACCTAATTTCATGGTCGCATGTCCCATTTTGGAAGGCAGTCCAACTCTCACATCTGATGGACGGGAACGCCTGTAGGTTGACGGTGGACTCTGCGAAGAGTTGCCAAGCGCGACTGTGGCTGCAGGTCGCTCGCACGCAGTCTGTCTGCTCGGACCCTCCGTTGGGGTAGTAATCGGCATCGCCTGGATAAGGTCCCATGGTCATCATCACAAAGACATCATGATAACCCATATTTTTGGAGTGTTAGCTCGAATAAAAGGGATCAGAGAACTTACCAACAGGCTCTTCCATGCCGGCGATGCCTGCGTTTGTATGTATCACATCAACATACTCAGCGTCCGACGACTGTATTCTGAGATCCGGTTCAACTTGCGCGAAACACGGTCCGGCCGGGTCTAGCGCTGTTATCCGGCCGATATGCAGCCCGGTCAGGTTGGTGAACGTCTTGCCTGTGAAGCTCGCGATTTGCGAGCCCAGGCTGTGGCCGATGACGTGGATTGTCTCGGGTTTAACGCCACCTGATTATAGGAGAATGACTTTATACAAAAGTTATCTGCATTGGTAGATAGATAGACACTCTTTATTGTTTTTTCCAAAAGTTTTACAATAGTAAACTTATTATAAATACAAATTATTACTAGAAGAGATCATTGAGAAAACAATGGGCTGCCTTATTGTTGTAATCGATTTCTTTAAGGTAACCTTTGAATGAAGGGGAATAATTATAAACTGGGTAACATTAAAAGGCTTTAAAAGTTATAATTATTTCATATTTTACTGAAAAACTTTTGAACTTAAGAAGAACAGTGTTAGGAGCCAACTCGCCTGTACCCAGATTATGTAGGATTCTGAATGCTCACAGCGATCAAATTGACATCAATTTTGGATCCATCAATAGCAGATATAACTTATTGCGGAAAATCTTAGACATAAGTTCTTAATCTATTTATTATTCAGATATTGTTATTGTCATTGTTAATAATTATTAAATATTATAATAATGCATGTGGTGTACGCCTGTAAAAGACTTTTACATTAGGCAAAATTATTTTTTGTGTTATCGATTAAGTAGCATATAAAATGTAAACTTGTAGGTGAACCTTATTAAATAAATAAATAAATATTGAAATAAAAAAAAGTAACTTATTTCTTTCACTGTAATTCAAGTACTATGAAAAAGCGATTAATTTAGCTTTTGACTAATGATTAAGTCTTAAAATTTAGGTGCTTGACCTATAAAATTGATATTTGCCAATTATAATTTTGTAGGAAGTAGGTAATCAGCTAAGGAAACTAATTTAAAAAAGTTGCGTGAAAAAAAAAACATTTCACTTCATCACTCATGAAGACACAATTGTAGGGGAAAAGCAGAAATACTCGTACTTACTGTGTACCATCGCAGCAAGCACTTCACCAAGTTTCTCCCCCAGGAAGCGCACGTAAGTCGTGGAGCGGAGGTACAGCCAGTTGATCAGATGACCCCCGTCCAGCGCTAATACATTATCCAATCCTGAAAAAATACCACAGCTTACTTATTTTTTTTATACAACTTAGAATGGCAAACAAGCTGACGGCCCACCTGATGGAAAGTGGTAACCGTCGCCTATGAGCAGTAGCAGCACCATGAGCAGTACCATGGACATGCAAACACAAACAGAGTATACTGTAAATTCTAGTTGCATTAATTTTTTTGGGTGAAAATGGTGAGCTGACGGTATACGTTGGTGCCGTACCAATGAGAAGTACAGATGAAGTTAGGTTTTTAAGCTATAGCGATTAATTCATCTAACGGATACGCTAGGACTTAGAACAAGAAGGAATTGATTCCGTAGCAAACGCATTGCTAGCAATAAACTCTATCAGTTCGACCTCCTCGCGGTTCCCCCGGAAACCATCATGACTGATTTACTATTGGTATTTTACTATTACATAGTCTGTTCGACCAATATATCCATTATCATGCATTAAGTACCGTATTGTTAGATAGGTTTCTTGCCACAAGTACCAATTTTTTTTACGAGGGGGAATATATATATATATATATATATATATATATATATATATATATATATATATATATATATATATATATATATATATATATATATATATATATATCTACATACATCTCTAATTTCATTCAATTTCATATCATGGTAGTAATGGGGTCTCGAACTCAGGTAGTACCTACATATTGTTTGAGCAATGTTTTTTTACCAAACCATGGGGGATAATTGGTATGGTAATCCATTGTTAGCAATTTTTTTATGGGTGATAATGATATGGTATGCGCTATCAGTATACACTGGCAGGGCACCAGTGATAGATGTCCTGACGAATTCAACTAGAATTAGCAACGATGGTTTCCAGGGGGAACCGCGTGGAATATATTTCGTTTTTTATCTGTTTGTCAGTCCGTATAATTGATTATTAAGTCGATTTCTGGAACTAGATACTCATGGTTAGATAAGTACAATAATATCGCGGAAATTACGTATAAATGTCGTATTACAAACGCAGATCGCGTGCTAGCTAATGAATCACAGTGGTTTCTAGAGAATTGACTTACAGATCTTGTGCAGTTAGGTAGTTAGGTAGAACGATGTATTTATCCTATTACCTATACAGACTAATCAATATATAAAACGAGATGATGACATGTTTTAAATTACAAATAATGGTACATCGTTACCTTGAGCTATAAGCATGATTTAATGTTCGTTTTAACCAACTTCAAGAGGAAAGAGGTTCTAATTTGAACATTTTTTTTTGATGATTGATAATGAAATGGTAACCCCGCCTGCGCTATTGGTATACGCTGTCGGGGAACTAGTGAGAGTAATTGAGAATAAAAAGACTGGCCAGTTAGCCCGTCGTAATGAATACACATGGAATTCAGCGCGATGGTTTCCAGGGGGCACCACGTGCAGGTCGACCTGGTTGAGTATATTGCTAGCAATGACGCCCTTAGTCTCCATTATTAACAGACCCTCCAGATCCTCCATTATAATCAGACCCAGAGTTTTGTCCGGGTAATTTGTACAACAACCGCATTGTACAAATTATAACGGGAATTGCTTTGTATAACCCGTCAATGTAAATGTACTATTTCGTAAATATTATACCTTAAATATGATAGCGTAATTCTTATAAATTTGGCGGGTTATACTGAGCAATTTCTTTTATTTTCCGTGTAATTCCGTGTATTTATATTTATGTACGTATATAATTGTGCTTATTTACACAGATATTTATTATTTTTACAGATCTATTTGTTTAACGCGCCACCTGTCTATTTATTCTTTAATTCCTTCTACCCAAAGGTTGTCTGTAAGAGATTGCTTAGCAACAAGACCGCCTTTTCTACTACACTATACTTATCGAAAATTTTTCAACAAATCCTGTAATTTTGGTAGAATAAAGAGTTAAAAAAAAGTATTTTCAGCTACCCAGTTCTCACCTCGTTTGTACAGAGCCTCCCTCACGGCCTTGAAGCTGGCCTGCCCGGGGTCGTCCGTGAAGCCATGCAGGTAGATGATGAGGTGGTCTTTCCCGGTGTAGTGTGTCTCGAGTGGGATGAGCTTGGCCGCAGAGTTTATATCATAACTCACATTTACATCTCTGAAAAAAAAAATCATTTATATATATTTATAATACCGAATTGCCATATCACTGATGATGAAGAGGGAATAGTAATCCGATAAAGACAACTTATGAATGAAGGAGTTATTAGAAATTTTATGCAGAACTAAAGTTATTTTAAATTTGTGAAATGTTACGGTAACCCAATTGGCCCTCTACCAGTTTTAAGTAGGATTTATTGATGAGGAACGATGACAATAGAGGAGAATGAAATCAAGTCAGTTGGCGCATCGTAACGAATTCATCAGAGATTCACCACCAAGAGTTATATACTTTATTATAAAAATATAAAAATTGCCATACACATGGAATTTGTGATGAAGAAAGGCATAGTTTATATTTTATTGCGCATTTTTTTTTGATGGGTGAAAATGGTAAGGTAACCCCGTCTGCGCTAACGGGATACGCTGACGGAGCACCAGTGAAGGGTGATAGATGAGGATGAAAACAAGCCAGTCAACCAATCATGATGAATTCATCAGGAATTAATCATGATAGTTTCCAGGGGGAACCGCGAGGAGTTCGACCTGGTTGGGTATATTGCTAGCAATGGGATTCTCAGACTCCATTACTAACAATCCCTTTCCCCCCTTATACATATTACATATTATAATATTATCTCAATTTCTTTGACGAAGTCGCCGGTGATAACTAGTATAAATACTTACTTTGACAAATATTTTAGCGTCAGGGAATTGACGTCCGGCTCGTTCTCGCCTTCCAGCTGTTCATACTTCAAGCCAAATAATTCCTTCACGTTTTCGCCTAAAAATTAAACTATTATCAGAATGATTTTTTTTATACAACTTAGAATGGCAAACAAGCTGACGGCCCACCTGATGGAAAGTGGTAACCGTCGCCTATAGACATGAGCAGTACCATGGACATAACAGAGTATATTGTTACGCCCATGATACCCCCAGGCGTTGCCATTCCTGAGGACTCAGGTGTTATTCCTCTGTACCCTGTATATTCACGCCATATCCCACCCTTCAAACCGAAACACAGCCATGCAAACACACTGCTTCACGGTTGAATCACGAATGGGACAGAGGTACCCAAGCAAACGACTTTGATTCTAATTAAACGGTCAGATTAGATCGTGTGCTTGCTGACAAGGGTCTAAAACACATGCATGAGATGAATTATCACAGTGGATGAAGGAAGAGATGTATTGTCTACCATTTCCAACAGACTTCAAAAAATGTTCTCAATTCCATTGTATTTTTTATATTTATTACCTCATAATTTCGCCATTTGTAAACCAATTTGGAATTTTTTTTCTTAAAGGATATACTTGCAGATTGGTTTTTTAGAGATTTTACGAAAAACCTGTTCATTAATTTAATTTCTGAATCAAAATTACTGATTTGCCACGATTAGAGTCTGTTTTTTTTTGTAATAAACATTATACTATTGTCCTGCAATTTATTATTGCTTCCTATAATGCTGATTGTTTTGTACATGTTTGAATGTAATTATTATATACATGTTTGAATGTAATTATTATATACTCGCGGTTTTTTAATATGATGAATTCATCATAGATAGATAGATACCCTTCACTGGTGCTTATTGTTTCCATTTTAACCCCAAAAAAAAAAAAAATATAGTAGTAAACTTATTACTTATTACAAAAACAAACAATTACAAGGAAAGATACATTTTTTGCATCCCTTTTTCTCTGTTAGTTTGAATATATAGTTTTTAGAAGCATGTGTTTTTATTTTATATGACTTAGCTATTAGCTAATGTATCCTTCTCTGGGGGAACAATAAACAGTTATCTTTAACACCCCTGGTAAATTAGAAAAGACCTTAGTGTATCGAATCTCATTCTTGATGCGAAATAAAGATATAAAATTAATCAGTATTTAAACAGTTTTTTTTTTAAATACTGCTCAGCTATTTAAGTAAATATATTAAACTTAAACAGATATTGATGTATTTATTTATGCCATTTGTGTACCTCTTCAAGTCTAATTTAAATTTATAATACCGTCTCGAGACTAGACGAATAAAAAATCCATCTTGACTTAGTGGTTCGATACCTAAATTTAAAGAGCCAGTTTCTAAGGTCAATTTAGCTATATTATTTTGTGACAATTTTAGTTAACTCTCCAGTGAAAATATAATATACATATACACATATCTGTCACGCCTGTTTCCTATAGTAATAATATTTTAACGTCGAAAGTAGCTAACAGATACCTAATAGAAAATATTGCTTTAACCGCGCCAAATGTAGACATGAACGATTCAAGATTTTGCTACCCGATACAAATTAAAATGGGACCAAAACAAGAGCTAACCTTATCGATTACATCATTTCCAAAATTATTAAAATCGGTTCAGTAGTAAACAATCTCTCTAGCTGAATTAACAAGCTATATTCAATTGATCTTAGTACTAAACCACCATAAACGATAAACAGGTAGCGACACTTTAAAAAAAAACACGAATGTCGCCTTTTTATGTTGGCATGTTCAAAAACTTTCCCTTGTGGTCCCGGCATAGAATAGACTACCCCTGAGGACTCAGCTGTTATTCCTCTATACCCTGTAAATGCATGCCATATCCCACCCTTCAAACCGAAACACAGCCATGTTGTACTTGCTTTAATGTTCGTTACCTCATAATTTCGTCAGTTGGAAACTTTGTACAAAAGTCGATTGCTTGGGTACCTCTGTCCCATTCGTGTTTCAACCGTGAAGCAGTTGTGTTTGCATGGCTGTGTTTCGGTTTGAAGGGATATGGCGTGAATTTACTGGGTACGGAGGAATAACACCTGAGTCCTCAGGTATGGCAACGCATGAGGGGTATCATCGGCGAAACAGTATACTCTATTATGTCCATGATACTGCCCATGTCTATAGGCAACGGTTACCACTTTCCATCAGATGGGCCGTCAGCTTGCTTGCCATTCTGTTGTATAAAAAAAAGTTGTAAACCCATTTAGAAAGCATTTTTATCTAAAGGCATATGCTTACAGACGGACACAAAGAAAGGTTATCAAAAGCGTTTAAAAAAATAGTTTAGTTTTTTAATCAAAATAATTAACTTTATCATAATTGGCTAATACATTTGGCTTTTTAATTTTGCTTCATGATATTTTCATAATCTGCAAAGCAAAACAAAACCTAAAATAAAGCAAAACCTATCAGGTATAAATAAAAATAAAATTGTGTACAACATCAATTTTTTTTATAAATAAATAAAAAAAAATATAAAGAAAAACCGATGATTATATCTTTACACTCACATTGGCTGAAGACAATTGAAGCGGCAGCTTTGACAATAGGTTGCTTCACATCAGCAATTTCCCCTTGCACACCCTTATTGACCATCTGCAACGCTTGGCTACCAGCGTCCACCACAGCGGTGCCACCGTCCACCAGCTTGCTTCCAGTTTCTTTCAATTTGTCACTGCCAAGTTTGGCGCCGCTCTCTAAAAGTTTTACTCCTTTCCCGAAGATGTTCGTAGAGTTTTGGCTGTACACGGTGTGTAGCAGTGCCAAACAGGCGATCAGGATATTGTGCTTCATGTTTTGATACTGGTGAAACGAAAAAAGGATTATATAAGGCTAGCTTTTACCCGTGACATCGTCCGCGCAACCGGGATATGTATGGCGAGGTACCAGTTTTTTTTTGATGGGTGAAAATGGAATGGTAACCCCGCCTGCGCTAACGGGATACGCTGGCGGAGCACCAGTGAAGGGTGATAGATGAGAATGAAAACAGGCCAGTTAGCCCATCATGATGAATTCATCAGGAATTAACCATGATAGTTTCCAGGGGAACCGCGAGGAGGTCGACCTGGTTGGGTATATTGCTAGCAATGGGATTTTCAGTCTCCATTACTAACAATCCCTTTCCCCCCGGCGAGGTACCAGTGAAGGGTGATACGTGAGCATGAAGTTAGATTTGTTGACTTATTGTTAAGAATTCATCAGTAACGATGATATGTAGTGGACGGGGACGGGGAAATGGAGGTCGATTCAATTCTCTGACGCCCATACATGTCCATTTTAGATAGATAGATAGATTTATGTCTTTAAAATAAGAGCATGATCCCGATATTATTCAATTTATACGCTTTATAAAAAAGCGGAGAAATGTATTTGTTTAAACGCGTGATTCTGTGGAAATACCAGTCGGATATGAGAAATTATTTTACAGTTTGATGACACATTTTTTATAAGAAGGTTATAGGCTATTCGATATCACCATACGACCACCATATAATGATCCCAGTACTTAGTAATATCGTAGACATATTTCAAATTACAAAAAATACAATAAATGTTTCTTTTTTTATACATGACACAAACGGGAATCTGTACAAATGTCGTCTGTACGAGTACTTCCGTCCCATTCGTGTTTTTACCTGCAGGCTGTTTATCAGCACAGATAAATTATAATGCTGATTTCAGTTAGATGGAAAATGCCAATGAGCACGGAGACATAACATCTTAGCCTGAGGGGGAAAGGGATTGTTAGTAATGGGATCTAAATGACCTATTGCTATCAGGTCGACCTCCACGTGATACTCCTTGAAAACCATCGTGGTTACTTGTTGAATTTGTCACGATGGGCCAACTGACCTACTTTCATCCTAACCTATCATCCCTCATCGATGCTCCGCCAGTGTATACCGATAGCGCAGGCGGGGCTACCATTTCACGCATGACACCATTCATTCCATTCTAAGTTAGAACCACAGGTACTGCCTTCTATCATCATGATTTCTAATCTATGACAAAATATGGTAATACACACAATACCATCTAATCTATGATTCTCAATGTTCACTCTTCGTTGTTTTTCAATGAAGCATATTCCGTCTTTACTAAATCCGCATCCAAGGTTTCACTCTAATTCCAATGCAATAGAGCCTAATTTGCGCCGTGGCTGAATTTACATTGAGATTTTATATATATATAAAATAAACAACCTTTTTTTGACAGCTGTCTTTCCAATGACATCTCGCATCTACGCGTAAAAATGTTAATTTTAATAATTAAATACCTCACACGGCCGTAATGAGTTTTAATTTTTTTGTTCTAGTATACGATCTAACGGGTTCTGTACATCTTTGTTAGTATTCTATTATTATTTAAATTCCAAAAAATCACATCTTCCCGCTTAAGGAGAGGAGATGGCAACTAACCCCTGGCAGAAGCACAGTCGGCCGGGGTTCAGGGCCCCAGGGAGAGAAACCGGCGTACAATGCGGGCAGTATCTAAGAGCACCGCTTTCTGCATCTTTCCCGGGAGTGAGCCGCCTCGGAATACCAACCGTCTGAGATGTTGTTCCAGACTGGTTGGGATAAGACCGTTCACCGACATAACGATTGGAATGATTTCGGTGGACGCCACCCCCCCACATTTCGGTCACCTCGTAAGCCAAGTCGACATATTCTCTCTTTTTCTCAGTTTTGGCTTTGACAAGGTTTGTTATTGTTATTTATTTATTAAGAATATCAAATGGAGGCAAATGTAATGGACACACACAATGTAATTTATTCATATTTCTTTTTTTATTATTATTTTTATTAAGGAATTACGCGACTGACTCTTGGCCACAACAGAATATCAGTGTTTTGCTCTTTTGAGGGCAAAGCAATAAACTGAGTTGTGACCATTTTGTGTTACTATGGCACACGTATGAAAAAAGGAAATTGTTGTTTTTATATTGCTTATATATTTATATGCTATTTTGTTTTTTTTTTCTTTTGTTGCTTTTTTGTTTTTCATTCTTTTATACTGTATATGTATATATTATGTATATGTTTGTATTGTAATTTGTGTGTTGGAAGTAATGCAAATAAATTATCTATCTATTTTGAATGGCTAACGTGTTTACAGTTTGCGGGGTATATTCATCATCATCACCATCATTTAAGCCCTCAACGGTCCAATGCTAAATGTAAGCCTCCCTCTTGAGGACTTTTTCAGTAGCTGCCACTCTTTACAGGCGGTTTGGCAACCGCGGTTAGGCTTTAAAGATGTTTTAATAGGGACGCTGCTGCCCATCCCCCGTCCTCCTTTAGTCGCCTCTTACGACACCCACGGCGGTGCATATTATTAGTAGTAAAATTAACAAGTGACAGAGGTATCCAACTAAATGACTTCCCATGTCACATACGTATTTGGAGAAAAAGAAGAGCAAAAAGCTTCACGATGCAAGAAGAAGAAGATTCACAGCCCATGTGGTCGCGGCATAGAATAGGCCACCCCTTACTTTCCCGTGGATGTAATAGGCGACTGAGGGAACATAATGGTAGCGGCAGCAGCGTCTTTAAAACATCTCTAAAATCTTAACTGCAGTTGTCAACCTGGCTGCCAAGTGTGGCAGAAAAAAAACCTCCCCTTATGAGGTAGACTTATGTTCACCAGTGGACAGTTAATGTCTGAAATGATGATGAAGAAGATTCATGCAACTTGACATGAACATAGCTCGTCATAATCACAGTACGTCACAAACAGACATACGTATTTGGTCACTAGCAAGTTTGTCACAAACGATATCCAGAGGGAGACTTTGTACAAAAGTCGATTGCTTGGGTACCTCTGTCTCATTCGTGTTTCAACCGTGAAGCAGTTGTGTTTGCATGGCTGTGTTTCGGTTTGAAGGGTGGGATATGGCGTGAATTTACTGGGTACAGAGGAATAACACCTGAGTCCTCAGGAATGGCAACGCATGGGGGTACCATGGGCGAAACAGTATACTCTGTTATGTCCATGGTACTGCTCATGTCTATAGGCGACGGTTACCATTTTCCATCAGGTGGGCCGTCAGCTTGTTTGCCATTCTATGTTGTATAAAAAAAAACTTCGTAACAAACTATATTCGTAGTTCGTCACAAATGCTGTTCGCAGTTTACATATAGTGTCCATTTGACCTCCCTTTGCCTTGTCACTTGAAAATATGTTAGAGAGTGTAGAGTATCTAGTCCATTAAGTTGGTTAAGTTTAAATAGAGATTTCATTTTATATAATACATAACACATACTGGTACCAATTGTATGGAGATACATTTGGACTAAGTTAGGGAATCCTAAATATATTGTCTTGTAAATATATATACTTAAACTTAAACTTACAGGTATATTATAAATATATTTGTTACCCGTAGTTTCGTTTGTTGTAATCCGTCAATTAGGACATCGTATCAGCAGTCTGTTAAAGACGCGTTTCTACACGTCTTTATCTATATCTTTCCTTCTGGAAAGAGTTTGATATACTAGTACTATCTAGTAATTCGAAAAGCAATTTCGTAAAACTCTGACAATAGACGCTCGTGAAAGATGGCTTACAGCACGGGCTCAATCTTTTTGCTGCTTCTAAGCACTTGTTATGGGCAGTTAGTTAACATGCTGTCCCAGTATCCTAAAGCATCCACGCAAAAGGTGCACCCAATTTTTTTTCACTCGGAACTCAGATATGTTGACAATACTGTCAGAGATACTTTAGATCACGCTACGTTAAAAACCATCATGTCTAATGCAGTGCAGAATATCACATATATCAAGAATCAAACTTTTTCGGAATATATCCACGCCGAATATATGGCGGGCGTGAAAAACGAAGACGTGAAGCTCAGTATTCGAGAACTGATCACAAAGTATGGATATCCCCTGGAAGAACACGAGGTGATCACTGCGGACAGCTACATATTAAGAATGTTCCGGATACCGGGGAACGGGCCCGTTGTATTGCTCATGCACGGACTGTTCGGGAGTGCTGATGATTTCGTGGTAGCAGGCCCCAAGAACAGTTTAGCTTACTTGCTGGCAAACGACGGGTACGACGTGTGGCTGGGCAACGCCAGGGGGAACAAACACTCGCGCCGGCACGTCAGTCTCGATCCCGCTGGGCCCGCATTCTGGAAGTTCTCTTGGCACGAAATTGGTTACTACGACCTGCCGGCGATGATCGACTACAGTCTAAACGTGACGAATAGGAGGTCTCTGTACTACATCGGTCACTCGCAGGGCACCACCACCTTCTTCGTTATGGGCTCCGAGAGACCGGAATATAATGAGAAGGTGACTCTTATGATAGCGCTAGCACCAAGTGCTTACCTGTCACACACGAAGTCCCGACTAATGCGAGTTTTAGCTCCTAAAGGAGCCCTCATACAGACGGTGTTGAATAACAACGGCATATACGAGTTACTGTCGGACACTCCAACAATGCGCGTCGTGAAGGACATCCTTTGTAATACGGGCCCGCTGGTGGATATCTTATGCAATAGAATAGTGATGAGCTTAAATGTTTTTAGTTATACTGAATTAAACGCTACCCTCTTGCCGGTGATACTGAGCCACGCGCCCTCCGGAGCGTCAGTTGAGCAGGTCAATCATTACTTCCAGGGGATCATGTCGGGGATGTTTCGGCAGTACGATCACGGAGTAGATATGAACATGAAGAAATATGGCAGAGTAACACCTCCGAGTTACCCCGTGGATAAGATATCGGCTCCTGTGGCTTTGTTTTTTAGTGACGATGATACTCTTTGCTCGTCCCGTGATGCTTATAAGCTACACAGAAGACTGAACAATTGTGTCGATATGTATAAACCACCTAATGAGTACCACTTTAATCACGTGGATTTCATATGGGCGAAGCACTTCAGAATTGTGATATACAATAGGATCATAAAATTGTTAAGAAAATTCGTTTAATCATGTTATATTCTTATACTACTCAAAGTGATAAAGTGACAAGTCATGGGGCAACCGCCCCTTCTAGACACGAACCGCACCGTGGAGAACTCAGATTGTGCTCCGTGGCATTCATCGTACATTGCCACTCCTGAAGACTTAGGTGTCTTGGTTTTCCACTCAGAAATTGCACTGGCCACTTTAAGCTTCAGACTGAAGGTTTACGTAAAAATTGCGACTTCACAACAGAAACAATTCCCATCTATTTTGAGTCATACAAATGCCGTAATATTTCAGTAGATAATAGACAGAAGTTTATGGGAAAGGATTGTAGCAAAGAGAACTAATATGTTAGTCTAAATCTTCCTGCTTGTTTTTCCATCTAAATATAATATGCATTAATTTAAAGCAAATGTGAATAGGCTTTTCGTGGGCCCGCATGCCCCATCTTGACCACATCGTTAGATACATTTTCATCAGGTCAGATCGTGATCATTTGCGGGCCCTTACAATAGTAAAAACAAATTGATGGTAATGTCTAGTAAATTGACCTTCTCGGTTCTTCAGAACTTCTTCCAGTTTTTTTATAAACTAACTACCCGCCCTAGCTTGCATGATTTTAAATATTTAATTAAGAAAATGAGACGAATTTTTTCTTCACAATCTGTCATTCACTGGGTATATAAACCAGCAAACGTGGGGGGAAAGGGATTATATTGGGGTCTAACTGACCGATTGCTAGCAATACACCCTATCAGGTCGATCTCCACGCGGTTCCCCCTGGAAACCATCGTGGTTAATTGTAGTGGAATTCGTCACGATGGGCTAATTGACCTACTTCATCCTCACCTACCATCCCTCACTGGCGCCCCGCCGGTGTATACCGACAGCGCGGGTGGGGTTATTATTCCATTATCATCCATCAAAAACAAAACCAGCAAACATTGTTCTGCTATATAAATATTTTTTTCTGGATAGAGTCACGCTAGTCACCTAGCGGTATATAATATAATTTATACATTCATAAAAATCGGTCAAGCCGTTTCACAAGAGTTCGACCACAAATACCGTGAAAAGAGTTTTTTATATATAACATTTTATAAATAGGTGAAACTGTTCTGAAATATTGTATACATACATTAGAGAATTGATTTTTATTCATATAAAAAAAAATCGCCGTATAGGTTCCGGCATAGAATGGACCTTTTCTTTCCCGTGGGAAAGAAAGGGGTGGTCCATTCTATTATTATTATATTCTCCACACACCCACGGGTGTCGTAAGAGAATATATATAGAGGCGAGTAAGGGAGCATATGGTAAAGATATGGGCAGCAATGTCCTTCTTAAAACATATTTAAAAGCCTAACTACGGTTGCTAACCCTCCTGCCAAACGTGGCAACTACTGGCAAAACTCCCCTTATGGGGAAGGCTAATGTTCAACAATGGATAGTTAACGGCTGAAATGAAATGAAAATAAAGATATTTTGCACTTTATTTCGTAATAGTTGTCTTTATTAATTTGGTATTGAAATAAAGCAAATGTCCTCGTGAATAACAGTTGACAAATAATATGAATAGATCCTTCATACCTATTTAATTATAGAACAAATTCATCGACTAGTCGACAAAAATATATTATGGCCGACTTAACCGGTTTTAGTAACTATTTATAATTTAAAATATTATTTTTATATTTTTTTATACCACTGAGGTGGCAAACAAGCATATGGCCCACTTGATGGTAAGTGGTTACCGTAGCCTATGAACACCTGCAATACCAGAGGTATTACGCGTGCGTTGCCGACTCTGAAGAAACCTCTTTACCCCGAGGGGAAAGGGATTGTTAGTAATGGAGGTCGACGAGGAGGCCTCCTCGCGGTTCCCCCTGGAAACTATCATGGTTAATTCCTGATGAATTAATTATGATGGGCTAACTGGCCTGTTTTCATTCTCATCGATCACCCTTCACTGGTGCTCCGGCAGCGTATCCCGTTAGCGCAGGCGGAGTAATCATACCATTTTCACCCATCAAAAAACTTGTATAACATACTTAATATAAGGTAAAAATAATAATATTTTTTTTTTTTATACAACTTAGAAACTCTTTACCCCCTTTTGAAGAACCCCATTTATGAGATGAGATATATGTATCCAAACAAACGACGTTTGTACAAAGTCTCCCTCGGGTACAATAATACATTAATTCCGGCTTCTCATAAAACCATATGTATAATTTAAAAATAATTATCATATACTCGTATTTGCTGAAGACTCCAGTACACTATTCTAGTTTTTACGACAAATCGTTCACAGTGCAAGCTGTACGACTGGTAAATTACCAGTTTCTATTCGAAACATAAAATGTCTGCTTAGTTTTTTTAGAACAAAACTAAGTTGTCATCCCTTTAATTTGTTTATTTGTCGGGTTAGCATACTTATTTCTTCAGATATATAAAAATTTATAACTTTGTTTTTTACGTATACGTATACATTTGCCTGGAAAAGATCGCTTTTAGCAATAAGGTCGCCCATTGTTTTCTCATTGTGATTATTTTTTGTAATTGTTTATATTTATAATAAGTTTATTATTGTAATCTTTTGGAGGAAATAATAAAGAGTATCTATCTATTTATATTAATTTCTTCTGGGTCAGGAAAAGAGATTGTTAGTAAAAAGGTTTAACTGATCTATTATTATCAATACACCCTATCAGGTCGACCTCCACGCGGTTCCCCCTGTCGGTATGATAGCGCAGGCGGGGTTACCATTCCATTATCGCTCATTAAAAAAAGACATCCTTAGTGTTAGACTCGGACGCGGCTCATCAGACGGGCTGTATGCTTGCTTGCCGCCTTTGTGATATAAAAAAGAAAAAAGCTCTTTAAGATACATTGTTTATTAAAGTGTAAAACACTTTTAGGCCGGTTGGGAAATTTTTGAGATGGGGAAAAGCGCTGGACATGATTGATACATATGATATACAGTTTTAATTTTCATTCTATTGTGGGATCAAGGGTTTACAGAAAGAAAATTGGTTGCTCCGTATTACTATGTATGTATAAAAAAGTTTTTCCAAATATTACAAAATTACAACATCTTTACACATCTGTAAAGCACACTGTAGCCAGGCTGAGTCTAATCTTTTTTTTCAATGTTTCTATCCTATTTACTCAAACACAAAACAGCGCAATAAATGTAAATTTTCTTACAATACTAAAATAAGTTGTGATAAAAAATTCTTTCTAAAAAATTTATCTTAATAATCCAAAAATGGGGGGAAAGGGTTTGTTAGCAATGGAGTTTGACAGCCCCATTGCTAGCAATATGCCTTATTAGGTTGACCTCCACGTGGTTCCCCCTGGAAACCATCGTGAACAATTCTTGTTGAATTCGTCACGATGGGCTAACTGACCTACTTCATCCTCACCTATTATCCCTCACTGGTGCCCCGCCGGTGTATACCGATAGCGCGGGTGGGGTTACTATCATCCATTAAAAAAAAAATCCAAAAATAATGTTGTCCAATGAAATTCAATAACAAGTTGGACGACTGACTAGCATTTTTTTCTTTCTCCAGTAAAATGATTTTAAAACCATTTACAACTTTATTAATTTAGAACCTATTAGCAAAAAAAAAAAAACTTACACTTTTCGATCCAATTTCAAGACACTAAACTGTAAATCCACGATTGTCCATCAATTTTGATAAATAATTTACACAAAACGACAGAAAACTAGTCACAATTTCATTATTTGGTCGTAATATCAATATTAATTTGCGATAATGCGAGCTGCACGCGATATGTGAGCTCGCGTGTTACTGCCGCCACGAGATACAAAACGTGCTTTTATTCTGCCTACACCTTGCAAGTTCACGGGGTGATAGTTATCCAAAATTATGACTCAGATCGCCTTCGTTAACGGACAAATATGGAAGAAATGGACGTCAATTCGAAAAATCCCCGGGCGTAAAATTTATTGAACAGTTTTGCGCAATTCATAATCTTATATATTTTTTTTATACAACTTAGAATGGCGAACTAGCTGACGGCCCACCTGATGGAAAGTGGTAACCGTCGCCTATAGACATGAGCAGTACCATGGACAGAACAGAGTATACTGTTTCGCCCATGATACCTCCATGCGTTGCCATTCCTGAGGACTCAGATGTTATTCCTCTGTACCCTGTAAATTCACGCCATATCCCACCCTTCAAACCGAAACACAGCCGTGCAAACACAACTGCTTCACGGTTGAAACACGAATGGGACAGAGGTACCCAAGCAATCGACTTTTGTACAAAGTCTCCCTCTGGTAAAACTGGTTATATTTACTCATAAGATATTGTAGCTTTAGCATTCCCACGATTAATCATATTTTTTTTATTATAGATATTATTTATTATTACTGAAAGATGGATTTTTTCAAGCAAAAAAACCTGCCACTGCGACCTTTCCACGATCTTTCATGTTACTACAAATAACTACGATCTATTTTTGTTAGTAATAATTGACTAAAGGAGTTAAGGGGCCGCCTGAAAATCAGCGTTATATAGGTACATCTCACTGGATCTGTACATATATAGCAACAGCTGAGGCGGCTCCAGCAATCAGCAACATTAATTGTTCTTTTTTTTCTTTTGGTTGTTTTAATTTTTAATTTTCTTAATACTGGTAATAAAGGTTATCTATCTATCTATTTAAAAACTATGTTAGTGAAAACAAAACAAATAATTTTATGGCCCCTATAATTTTAAGGCTCAATTAGAAGTTCATACTTATTACATAATACAGAAGAAGAATGAAGTTACTGCTACCACGCCGTTAGTGTAAACGAGGTCGATGTAATCAAGATGGACCGAACTTTTTTTTTATGCAACTTAGAATGGCAAACAAGTTGACGGTCCACCTGATGGAAAGTGGTAACCGTCGCCTATAGACATGAGCAGTGCCATGGACATAACAGACTATACTGTTTTGCCCATGATACCTTCCATGCGTTGCCATTCCTGAGGACTCAGGTGTTATTACTCTGTACCGTGTAAATTCACTGCCAAATTACTGCCACCCTTCAAATCGAAACACAGCCATATAAACACAACTGCTTCACGGTGGAAACACGAATGGAACAGAGGTGCCCAAGCAAACGACTTTGGTACAAAGCCCCCACCACACCTGGTCTCCCCCTGGTAATATTACTACTTTTAATTCTTTATAGAGGCTAGTCAACGTGACCACATCCCACCTGATGATCCGTATCCAATTGCGGATCTGAGAAGCACATTTGCTCCAAATCAGATCGTATATAACGTAATAACAACGTTGCCTATTGCTCTTTCAATAATCAAGATTGTTTTCAATTAATTTAGGAGATCCGTTTACCGTATCAAATTAAAAGGACAAGTCTTCTAGAATCCTTTGTAACTTTCAAACAACGTGCCCCTCACTTTAAAGGAGTATTAGCAATGGAATCTATTATGCCGCTTCCACGCGGTTTTCCCTGGAAACCAGCGTGGCTAACTTTCTTGATTTTGCCGCGAGGGGCTAATAGACCTAACTGTATCCTAACCTATCACCCTTTATTGCTTCTACAGTAGGCATATAACGGTAGCACTAGGAAGGTTACTATTCCATTATCATCTCATAAAGAAATTAACGTTAACGCGGTGAATTTCTAGTAATGAGGAAAATTAAGTCACCATTGCTAATCCCATTACCAGCTGTTTAGATTACACGTGCCTATACACAAGTACATACACACACTTTTTTAATGGTGATAATAGAATGGTAACCCCTTTTTAGAGGGGAAAGGGAGTGCTAGTAATGTGGACTAATGGCCTCATTGCTAGCAAGCCTTGTCAGGTCGACTTCCACGCGGTTCTCCCTGGAAACCATTGTTAGATTCGTCATAGGGGGCTAACTGACCTGCTTCATCCTCACCTATCATCCTTCACTGGTGTCCCGCCAGCGTATACCGATAGCGCAAGCGGGTTCACCATTTCATTATCATCCATTAAAAAAAGCCTTTTTTATGCAAGATGCGCTGACCTATGGGCGCCGCCAAGGCTCTGATTAACGCCGGTCGTGTCAGGGTGGGATAGGTGATAGCGAGGGTGCAGTCGCTGGACTCACGGTTCATGCGTTGCATTCTCTGGGCATGTGGCGCAGCGCTGACTGCTGAGAGTGTCGACACCAGCGGAGGCATTTTGTTTCCGTTGCGAGCAGACGGGCCACAGGTCCGCCGCATGTGTCGCGCCATCACCAGAATGCTGCGTGTGCGTTGGGGCCGGTCGTAAGGCCAGCCACAGGGTGGGTGGCACCGCACAATGTAGCCGACCGTGGAAGGCTTGAGCTCCGGCACGAGATGGCCGCGGGGGCGGAGAATCGATGGACATCTAGCAGAGCTTTAGCCGTTAGGTGTCCATTGGCTCTGACGGGGATCTCCGGCGGCGGATGACGGGATTCATCCAAAGCCCAACGTGAGACAGGAGATCCGGTAGGAGGCGCGCGCGTATTCCCGGCGCGCCACTCGAGAGAGCACCCCAAAAGGGGCGGCGCTACCGGTGA